TTTATGAGCCTCAAATTGAGTGAATATATATATATATATATATATATATGTATGTATGATAAATTCATGTACACAAATAATTAAAATTGATGTTTTTATTGAATTAAAAGATCTAATAAATTTATAATCCTAAATATACAAGTAAATAAATCATGAAAATTTATACATAATTCCATGAAACAAAGACATGCTTAATCGAATGCAAAACTAAAATTTTAATAATCCATTCAATCTTAAAATAATTAAATTTAAGATAAAATGACATCAATTTCATGAAATTCATATTTTTGTTGTTCATGATTCAAACTTCAACTAATTAAAATCATCACTATCTCGACGTTAAATGATTGTATCAAAGTTCATCAACCAGTATTTACTAATCATAAAATTTTAAATTTAAACTAATTAAATAAGAATTATTATGTATCATGAAAATATAGCCATTCTAATATTTAAAATTTCATTTTTTCAAGAAAATGAAATTTATTATGCTTTCTCCCTGTAAGAATAATTCAATCTTCAAAATCTACCAAATTGCTTCAGGCACTCATTTCATCAATCAATCATTCAGTTAAGAACTCATACACCAATTAACTCTACATTGATCAGTCATTTATTAGAAATTTTTCGTAACCTACCCCAAGTATGAGTTGGTGTAATTAGAACAGATGTGATGTTCTATGACAAAAGATCAAAAGAAGGAACACTCCACAGTAAAAGAAATAAAGACTTGGGACTTTTTCCCGGTAGATCATCTACATAGCTTGCTTTAAAGGCCACTAAGCCCACACCACTTCCAAGAACCTTCACATCCTGTTGGCCTCAACCACAGGACATGATGTTACAGAAGCCTAAATTTAGATGTAAGCTTCTTGTCCTCTGGACATGAAGTGCCATCTGAAACAGTCCAATATGAGGCAATGTGACCATGGCAAAGAGGGTCCATCAATGACTGGGTAGCTCAAGGAAAGCGATGGCTGAATGAATATGGACCACTGCAGGGGGAACAACCCGTGGTGGCTGTCAATGGGGGAGTCATCTGTGGCTTCGTCTTTAAGAGACCTAGCTAATTTTGATGGTGGAGCTAGGTGTGGAGATGTCAGTGGCTTCATGGTCACTGTCACCCAATTGATCATGGCTCCACCTTGAGATCATGGGGAAGAGTGGGTTGACATCCATCCAAGTAATGGTTTGTCGCAGGAATGGGCTTTCTTTGTATGCACCCGCCTTAGAGATTCATCTGCTGATCATCAAGAACGAGACTGAGGAAATCAAAGATAGGGAGAGTTGGTGGGTGCCCATACTTGGACTCTTACAGGGATGAATGAACTTTCTTTGTTGTATCAGTTTATCAATCCACCTGGAGCTTGTATTGGTGCGGAAGATGATCCATGGTAGATGATCGATCATACACCAATATTTTTGTGCCAATCAAAATGCTGAAGTTTCATCATGAAAGAAGTTTGGCATGTAATCAGAGAACATGAGTCCCTTCTCTCTATTATATTCTTTGGAAGATGATACCACTGTATGTTTGGTATAAGGTAGTGTGGAATAAAGATAGGGTCTCCTTCCAAAGAAGATATTGAAACAAGAAAGGTTGATGAAAGAGGACAGATGCAGTCATTAAGCTGTGTTTATTGCTTCAGTAACATAGGAACTCTTATGACAAATTACAGTGTTTACAATCTCTGCAAACTGCCTTTTTCTGCTATAAAAATTAGAATTCTCAGAAAGCAGGAGCCACCTGAAAGGTGTCATGTTAATCAACATAATTACCTTGATCAGAATGAGAAACTTCTGCAAACAGGTGACTCAAATGAAACCTGCATTCTGAATCTGGATCTGTGGTACATAGTGAAGATTTCTTTTGTTTGTTTAGATACATAAAAAAGAGAGCCTTATCTTCCAATGGTCCTACATCTCCAAGAATCATGGAGGAATACCCTCCCACAATCCTTTCTGCTTCTCATGACTCCTTAAAGAAGCCTCCATACAGATTGCAAAGGAGAAATAAAGAACTCTAATGTTGTTTACCTAACATTCTTACTGGCTGGAGCCTATATTCAAGTCCTTGTGAGACCCACTTCCAAGTGCTCCTGACATCAAAAGCACCTACTACTTTATGAGCACCACTTCAGATCTGTGGAAAATAGGATGCTGACAATGTTGGGATGGCAACTGAAACATTAAAAATGAAGAATGAATCAGTAATATATATTGCTGCTTCCATTTCAGAAGATGCAGAAGTTACTTGTTTCAATTGTTCTCTTGCAAAGGATAATGATTCTATGCCATAATGATGCACATTCGATATATTATAATTATGACTCAATGAATCAAGTTGAACTTCCAGAATATCAAAATGTCTATGCCTTGCAGATTCTGATTCATTGCTGTGCATAAAAAATAAAAACAAAGATCCATGTGCTTGTACATGCTTATATATTAATGGACAGAAGTTGTCATCATGGAGAAGCTGAAACCTAATTAGGTGCCATCATTTTCTTCTGATCCCTCTCACAATCAAAAAGGCTTGCAAGGAAAAGAACATGCTAAAGTTCCTTATCAAGTTTATGCTTTTCCATGAAAGTTGTACACTTGGGTGGAGCAAAAGTCTACCATGCCCCCCTTACATGTGAATTGACAAGTGCACCACCATGAAAGTGCCAGTTATCAGTAATGATCCTTTAGTTTTGAATTTTACTGATCTTGAAGTTTTATCAATGGCTGATGGAGGAAGATTTTTGATATCTTTGCTAATATTTTACTGAACAGTAAACATAATAATTCTCCTTTTTTTGGTGAAATGGCTTGCATTTAGAGAAGTAAGCCTTTGCATATGTTTCTGATATGCTGAAAGGCATTACTCTGCATCTAAAGAGAAGTTGACATTATTTTCTTTGATAAATTACTGATAAAAAAACTTAGGTATAGTAGAAAAAAAAAAAAACTCAGCATTATATATACAAAGGAATTGATGCATTTAATCTAAAATCATAACATAAGATAATAGTGTAAGCCATATACTAATATGATTTATACAAAGATCAGTATGTGAGTGATTTATATGCTGAATAAAAGAACTAGCAATTTGCTGTTATGTTATGGTAGAGTGATTAGATGGATGAGAACTTCCAAAGAAACTTAAGCTGAGTAGAAAATGGCTAAACATCATTCATACCCTAACATGATGGATTCCTAAATTGTACTTCTACATGATAATTGGATTTTAGGAGGAAAAAAGTGACATTTTAGCTTAGGAATATAACTTGAGGAGATAGGAATGAGTTGAGAGCATGAACTCTCTTTTCCCTTATTTAGCCTACTGGAACAAATGCCCTCTCTCTGATTGCTCAATAATTGATAGAATTGGAATATTCCAAGTTCCTGAATACACTTGCGTGGATGTCCAGCCAACACACATTATCCATCCACCTGTATCATTCCAGTCCTTTTCACATAGTTCTTGGACAACCCAGAAGCTTAGAGAACCGCAGTCTACAGTGCTTTGTGACTTCAAACAGATATTGACCCCATAGATTTGTCAAACTTAAGTACATGAGCTAAATTGGTGCAAGACCAGTAATTGTATGAGTTCCTGCAAAACAAAACATTTATATGCACTGGTGCATGTTATTGTGCCATTAAGTTCTACTGTCCAAACTAAGCTTCAACTGTTCTTCACCTGCCTCTTTAGCTTCTCTACTACACTGCCATTAAATTGCCTTTTAGAACCTATAATTCATCCTTAATGACAGTTTGCCTGGACTTGTGGCTAAATGGTGTAGTGCTTTATGTAATTGATCTGGACATTGCTTTCCTCTGTTTACTGTTGTTTTCTGCATGAGCAAATGAATTATTAATTGTTTACCATGTGATACAAAATGATGATTTTCTTTGTGTTCTAATTTTTCTTATTAAGGTAATAAATAGCCATAAGGGTAGACAACAATAAGAAAAGCTGTAGCTTATCTAACTTGATGATTCCCATACCATTTTGACTATGATAATAGTTTTAGTAATAATAAATAAAGTACTTGTTCAACTTGATTCAATGGCTTATGCTTTCAGCTAATCTATCTGATAATTGAAAGATAAAATATTGATTTGAAGAAAAAAAAAGGTTAAAGAATAAATCATACCTCCAATGTGAAGCACCAGTAATTAAATTAGGATTCGAGACTGTCATTGCAAAAAATATCACTCATCTCTGTTTCAGAAATAGATTCTGTATCAATTCATGAATTGCTAGTCATCGTCAAAGATTGTCTATTTCACATATAGTATAGATATTATAAATCTTTTTGAAGAAATTAATCTCATTCAACGTAATTATTATTATTGTGGATGTGATCAAGTTGGTCAATTGGACCATTTAAAATTTTAGGATTGAAAAGATTTTTATCCCATGGGAAGACTTGTTGGCTTCTGAACTTTCTTTCCTCTCGTAAAATAATATGTTTTTTGGATATATGATAATTTAATGTGTTTGACTCTTTGCAAAAAAATCCAATATGATAATTCTATGTATGTTTCATTGTTCTCTCGTTGGACATCTCAAACGTGGGCAAGCTTATCAATTAATTGTTGTTGGGTTCTTTTGTGATCCAATTCTCATCCCATCTATCACTTAGTAGCATTTTCATATTTGCTAATAACATAATAGGTGTGCATACAGCCCACCTGGAAGTAATTGCAATGCAACAAGAACACAGTGGTGGATGCATCACACTAAGAGATCACCATGTTGGATGCATGCCTCAAATCGAAAGCTTGCTTGTTTTACTCGATCACCTCGCAAAGTCTCTCCTTCTTTCTGATACCAGAACACAATTGTTGATAAGCCAGGTGCCCATTCACAGTCAAAAGGACACAGACGTATCACTTTTCTTGCCATAAACAAAGAAGAGAGACAGCAGACACACACTCACCCTCTTTCGGCCCTGTCAAAAGGTAAAAAAAGGGAGCTTTTTTTCTCTCTGGATTCTTTATCCTTCTTTCACCCTTCTCTCTCTTTCTCTCTGCCTTGTGTTCAGAACCCACCAGAAGTGATTTGTTTGGTTCCCCCACATAGAACCAAGAGTTAAATCTTCTGTGTCGATAAGGGGATTGGTAGAACGCACAGAGAAGGAAAAAGAAGCTCCGAGCGAGTATCTGCCCTGGCTATTCTGTGGTGTTCTAAATATCCTCCACACAGTCTGTGCTGGATTCCTTCTCTGTGTCTCCGGCGGTGGATGATCCTTCCTTCCTCTACGATTTGCCACCTTCTCGAATCTAGACTATAATATTTGCGGGCTAATCCTCTTGCCTCTTCCTGCACAGCGGCGCGACTGCTTCCCCTGCTTAGGAGAAGGAGCATGGGGTTGTGAAACCTTAATCTCTCGGAAATGGATCTCGAGAGCGGATCCTACATCAATCCTGCCAAGGTGAGTTGGAAAGCGTTTGCTACTAAAGTTTGGATTTTGAAGGTGTTTCGGAGAACTTTGATCTCAAACGAGTTCGGTTTTGCATTTATCTTCTTGTCGAGTTCAGATTTCGGAGTTGATTGAGCTCAAGGAGGGATTTTGTTTGGGTTTTAGGCACTTTTTTCTTGTTAAGAGCCGCGTGTTTGACGTTTGTTGATGAATCTTTGAAATCAGAAGTGGGAGGGAGTTTGGATTAGTTTCTTGGGCCGAGTGCTTTCTTTTCGTCTCTCTCTTTTTTTGTGATAGATGAACATTTTAAGAATTTTTGCTAGATTTTAAGGTACTCTTGTTGGTTTTGGGATTGCAATTTGCTCCATTTCATCTGAAAGCTAAGGTTTTGAAGATGTTTGATGAGTGTTGATGCTCCAACGAGGGAACCTCACCTGAACTGCAGAGACAATCATGGAGGTCAGTCGTGATGCTTGCTTACCAGAGCCTTGGCGTTGTCTATGGCGACCTCAGCACTTCGCCCCTGTATGTGTACAAGAGCACCTTTGCTGATGACATCGAGCACTCGGAGAGCAACGACGAGATCTATGGCGTGCTCTCTTTCGTTTTCTGGACCCTCACCCTCATCCCTCTCCTCAAGTATGTCCTCGTAGTTCTCCGAGCAGACGATAACGGTGAGGGTGGCACGTTCGCCCTCTATTCCCTCCTCGTTCGTCACGCCCGCGTTGGGTTCATACCAAACGGGCAGGTCGCCGATGAGGAGCTCTTGGCCTATAATAAGAAGGATGATCACTTGGGCCTTCTCAATGGCGATCCTTCTGCCCCTACTGGTGGTGCGATGACTGCACCGTGGATGAGGAGGCTATTGGAGAAGCACCAAATCTCGCAGCGTGTGTTGCTGGTTCTTGCTTTGCTTGGGACATGCATGGTCATTGGGGATGGTGTCCTCACCCCCGCAATCTCGGGTAATCTGCTTTGTTCTGTATGCTCTTCTGCAGTTCCTTTGGCCACTCGGTGTGCTTCTTTCGCCCTAAATATGTTCTTTTATTGTTGCAGTGTTCTCTGCAGTCTCAGGTCTTGAGCTTTCCATGTCGAAGGAACATCACAAATGTAAGGAAGTTTCGCGACAAGAGCGAATTACTAAATTATTTTGTTTAAGGGTCTAGATGTAGATTTCCTAGTAATATGCATTGGTTCTTCTGATATTTGCCATGATTCTGTCTTTGTTTCTATCTCTGCGTTTTGTTCTCTCTCTTAGTAATTCCTTTCTGGTTGGTAGGGTCAAATTTGCCTGTCTTGGTTTTTTTCTGTCTTTTGGTCTCCTCAAGGATGCCTAATCACATTGAATTGCAATTATAAATGTTTGCAAATATGCAATTTTAGCAATGCTTTATTTTCTTCTAGAAATTGTGGGTGGTGGACAATTATCATTATTGTTCTCTGTCCTTTTGCTAAGACATATTGAGCTAACTTGATTATGAAGGAGGTAGACTCATTTAAAAAGGAAAAAAAGAAGGTCGTTGATTACTGAACATGTTGAAGCTACATAGGTAACTTCAGTGCAGGTCACTGATGAGCTACAGTGAAGCTTTGCTTTTGGTTATAGATTGCTTGTATAAGTGATCTATCGATCTGAGTCATGAGATACTGTCATCCAATGTAAGTAAAGGCAAGTTGCTCTCTGGCTTGGCTATCCAGAAGTCATGCTTATACTAGAGACTTCTTACTTCACATTGATCTTCAGTTCTTATTTTTCCTCAACTCTACCTGTTCTATGCTATTTGTCCTACTTATTTCTTTTAGCAACAGTCTATAAGCTATGTCTTCTTTTGTAGTCAGTGTATTGTCAAAACTTCCAGGACAACTGAATAGAAGCAAAGAAGAGATAGCGTTAGAAATTTTCTTGCATACAACTTTTCTGGTGTTCTAGAAGTTGGGAAGAACAAATTCAAATTTATGTAATCAGGACTACATTTTATGTAACCTTTCAGCTTCTTTTTGACTTGGAGATGAAATTGAATGTGGATTATCATTTTTTTTAGATTTTCCTTACATTTGGTTCGTTAGTTGCTCAACAAGATTGACCCCCTATCTATCAACTGGCTTCCTAGGATAATTCAGCAATCCTTCTTGTCTGTGATATGCTATGTAATTAGCCATGTATTCTTGGATGTTTAATTGCCAATTTCAAAAGGCTTGAGAAATATTGTGGTGTCTTTTAGTATCTTTTTGTTATGTGATTTAGTGCTGCCTCTTAGTTTTCTGATTGTTGAACCTGAGACTCTGATTGGTAGATGTTGCTTCTGTTTGCTGGCTAATGTGATTATGCAGTGGTTGTTGGTTCCAAATGTATTGCTTGCATTTTAAATTGACTTTGTGGCTTTTCTGCAGCTTACTCAATTATTCAGTTTTTACACCTGATGGTTGTTAAATGTGATTTATAACTTCCAGATGTTGAGGTTCCTGTTGCATGTCTCATACTGGTCTGCTTGTTTGCACTGCAACAATACGGTACACACCGACTAGGGTTCCTGTTTGCACCAATTGTCGTGATCTGGCTTATGTGCATCAGTGTAATTGGTGCTTATAATATTTTCTACTGGAATCCTCATGTATATCAAGCCCTTTCCCCCTACTACATGTACAAGTTTTTGAAGAAAACCAAAAGAGGAGGTTGGATGTCTTTAGGTGGTGTTCTCTTATGCATAACAGGTTTGTTGAAGTTCCTGATCATCTTAGCACATTTTTCCATACCGTTGAATAATTTTATTCCCAACTTTCTCTTTTACAGGTTCTGAAGCAATGTATGCAGATCTGGGACATTTTTCACAGTCATCAATAAAGGTAAGGACACCAGGTTGCAACTCACAAGTTTTTTAATACTTCTTCTGTGGTATATGTTTTTGTTCACTGCATGTATCTTTTTTCTTGGTTGTAACTATATTGAGTTATTTAAAATTGTTTTACTTTTGAAGCATTGTTTCCCAAATTTGCTAATTTTTGTCGTGTTTGTATTTAAGATCTTTAACAGTTTGTCATTTAATTCTATCTATGATATATGGTTAAAAGAATAGGTAGAATATTCACAATTGGTTGTCAAGTCTGTCAAAATCTAAAATAAAGGATGACCGATATATAAGTTTAAGTTCTTTACTGGTCAAAAGCCCATTTAAGTGGTGTTAAGCAAGTAAAAGAAATCCAGGTCTGGTCCAGAATTGAATTTTTTGTTTGGTAGATGCTAATTTTACGGCAGTGAATGATTGAGAGGAAAACACCATAAACCCCTTACTAGTAATGGTGATTTTAAAAAAATAATAATAATGGTGAGCTGAAATGCTTGATTTTAGCTTACATCATCCTTCAAAATACGTCATCTTAGGATGATTCTAACAAATAAATGAGCATTAAATACTTTGATGACATATAATGTAACCTCTAACTTCCAACTTAGTGAGAAATAGTTTAGAAGTTCATTGATGGTCTGACAAACATGTAAGTTTCAGTACTACAATTGATTTAGCCTTAGTTTGAATGGAGTGTTAACACTAGAAACTGAGTGTCATAAATCCAACAGGAAATATGGTATGCACAGAAAACACATCCCACGGTTTTCAAATTTTAAGTCATAGTAAACAAAATTTGTGTATTTTGTTGTGGGTTATATGCTGAAATATGCATTAATGTTATTAATGATAATACAGACAGATCATATAGATTGCACCTTTGTCGGTTTCCTTGTCAAAATATCTTTGAGGGCACGTGTTAAAGCCTTGATGGCATTTCAGATAATTCACTTCAGACACAGCTATATAACATGGCTTAGACATGGTTGACATTTTGGACCAGTTAATGGCAAAGTCGATGAGAATTAAGGTTCCTAGTATTCTGTAGAGTACAAATTGGAGTTAATTTGTTTGTCTGCCATATAAGTCCTACCATAAACATGGAAGGAAACCATTTTAATTTTTACATCTCCTGAATTTATGCATCATTGTTCTCCCAAAGACTGTATGCAGCCGTATATCGAGATCTCCAGAGCAAGAGATTGGGGCCATATTCCATTTATTAAAGGTCTCGTAATACTTAAGTCTTTATCTGAGATTCATCTACTCGAAAGCAGTAATAAGTTCTTAATGCTCATAAGACACAATAAAAACGCATGTAGATTGACAAAAAAACTAATTGCCTGGTTTAAAATGATAAGATTCGACCCAAAATGAGAAGATATATGAAGAATGTAGTGAAAGATGTTTTTCATAGAATTCCCAATGTCGCTTCCATTACCCTTAAGAAAATTTTGCTTTTATGAAGTGAGTTGTAAAAGAGATGGAAGGGCTGATTTTCAAGAGCTAAAAGCCGCATTTATCTCATCAGCAGAATCTACTTCTACACATTTATACGTTATTGAAGTGGAGCACTTGTCATTTTTGGCTAGTTTTCAAGAATTCAGTAGACTTGAATTAAATTTGTTAAACAACTTGTTCAGAGTGCTTGCACTATAAGGGCTATTGACATTAAAATTTGCTATCCAATAAACTTTCATTTCTCTACAGATTGCTTTTACTTTTGTGGTGTACCCATCCTTGCTCCTGGCATATATGGGACAAGCGGCTTATCTATCTCAGCACCATGTTATCCAAAATCATTATCGGATTGGGTTCTATGTGTCTGTACCAGGTATTTGTTTTCCTGCACATTAAATTTTGCACAATCATAGATTGATCAGCATAGTCATCCTAATTTCCAGAGTATTTACATGTAGAATTTTCTCTTGTTAGAGAGATTAAGATGGCCTGTTCTGGCAATAGCTATACTTGCTGCTGTGGTGGGAAGCCAATCAGTTATAACTGGTACTTTCTCAATTATCAAACAGTGCACTGCCTTGGGTTGTTTTCCAAGGGTGAAGATAGTGCATACTTCATCCAAAATAGGTGGTCAGGTATACATCCCAGAGATCAACTGGATTTTGATGTTATTGTGTTTGGCTGTGACTATCGGTTTCAGAGACACAAAGCACCTGGGCAATGCACAAGGTATAATGTGCTAGAGTATAACTCATTGATTTCTCTATGATCTTTGGATTTCTTTTACCAATTTAACATAAAGCGCCTCCCTTCTTTAAAGTCTGGGCGCCTAATAGTTTTGCCTCTTTATCGTGAATTTTAGGTCATCTCTACCTGTAGAATCCTATATTTATGGGAATAGACCTAGTTGATCATGATGACTCTTCGACTTGTGGATCAGATTCAGTTTGATATTCTTGCAATAATTATCATTTATCCAAGCAATTTATATAAATGATAATTACCCCAAGAAGACAACATGAAGTGCATATATATGACAGTCCAATTTTGAAGAAAATTCCATGCTTTGCTCTCTGATAATTTCATTGAGAACTTTGTAGATCTAAGTTCAATTTTCCAAGGTCATTTAGGTTTTACATTCAGATTCTTTGTTTTAACTTTCTGATTTGGGCCTCCAGCTCCCAGGCAAATGATCTCACCATTGGTGATCATGGAACCAGTTTGCTCACAAAAGCATCCGCATGTGAATGGAACTTTAATGTGCCGATCTCACCACTGTATCATGTAGACAATTTGGCTTCTATAATCTATGCTGCCATTTCTTATTATATATAGATTGGTCATCTCCAGCATCAACCTTTGAGACTGTTCCTTTTGCTTTTTCTCTTTTCAATTTTTTTAATAAACAAAGTCTTGGATCACCTGTATTTATATGTTTTTGGGCCTTCATGCAAAAAATTTATGGTTCTATACTTCTATTATGTGATTCACTCTACTATTATTCTGATACAAACTTTTTTTTTTCTCTCATTTATAAACATCTTTTAGTTTGCAGTTAATCAGTCTTTCTTCTGCTTCTGCTGCTGCCTTCGATCATGATTCTATAATTGTTTGCATCCAATAACTCATTTGTTAATGTTGATAGTGATAACATAACCCTTTCATATGTGAACAACCTGTCAAGTGATGATTTCATATTCTCCGGAGGATATCTCTCTTTACGATTTACGTCGTTGCACATGAATTTTGTTAGTGCACCATTTTTGACTCTTCAATTGCAACAGGTTTAGCAGTCATAATTGTTATGCTGGTAACCACCTGCTTGATGTCCCTGGTAATTGTCCTTTGCTGGCACAAGAACATTTTTCTTGCTATATGCTTCGTTGTATTCTTCGGAACCATAGAGGTGCTCTTCTTCTCGGCCTCCCTAATCAAGTTCCTCGAGGGAGCATGGGTTCCTATTGCTCTTTCCTTCGTTCTCATGACTGTCATGTGCATATGGCATTATGGCACACGTAAGAAGTACGAATTTGATGTCCAGAACAAGGTCCCCATCAACTGGCTCCTTAGCCTTGGTCCTGCTCTTGGCTTTGTACGTGTGCGAGGCATTGGGCTCATTCATACAGAGCTCATATCAGGAATCCCAGCCATTTTCTCACATTTTGTCACCAACTTACCTGCATTTCACCAGGTAACTATTAAGGTTTTCCACACACTAAGCTTATCGGTAGTAATAGAACAGACGTCGTTGATTCTCTTGTCACTTAAATGATAGAATTGATTCATATTGTTCATCAACATAACATTATATTTCATTCGCACCAGGTTCTTGTCTTCCTTTGCATAAAGTCAGTCCCAGTGCCACACGTCCTGGCCGAGGAAAGATTCCTTGTTGGTCGCGTTGGTCCAAAAGAATACAGAAGTTACAGGGTCATTGTCAGGTATGGGTACCATGACATACACAAGGATGACTTGGAGTTCGAGAAGGATCTGGTATCTAGCATTGCGGAGTTCATACAATCTGCAGGGCACGAGCAGAATGGTCATGTAGAGGCAACCGAGAACGGTGATGAAAAGATGATGGTGGTGAGTGCAGGTTTCAGGTTCCATGAGGAAAGAGCTGTAGAACCTGTGGAAGCACCTGGCCCTTCGAACTCGAAGGCAATGCCCTCTTCACCAATTCCACCTAAGAAAACTGTAAGGTTTGTCTTGCCAAGGAGCCCGAAGTTAGAGAAGGGCACGAGAGAAGAGTTGCAAGAGCTAATGGAAGCAAGAGAAGCAGGAATGGCATTCATCCTTGGGCATTCATACATGAGGGCAAAGAGTGGATCGAGCCTAATAAAGCGGCTTGTGATCAATTTCGGATATGAGTTCCTGAGGAGGAACTGCAGGGGTCCAATGTATGCAGTCAGCATCCCTCATGCATCGACGCTGGAGGTCGGGATGATCTACAATGTCTGAGCTTCAACTGCAACTGTACAGCTTCACCTCTGTCATCTTCATCTGCACCATGGACGATCAAGCTCATCCGCCAATCTTGTGTCCTTGTACAAAAAAGAAACGAATACAAGCATTTAGGTGCAGGATTTCTTCCTTTGTTCTGCCTTTGCAAGGTACCACCATGTAAATAGGAGAATAATTTTTGTATGGAGATTCTAGTGCTTGTAGAGCTGGAAGAGAAGTTCACTAACTGCAGATTGAAGTAGTTTGTGCTCCTCATTCTGTAATGACAAACACTGTCTGTGATAAGCAGTACCTCAATAACATGCAGGGGTGGATTTGGTTCTGAGCAAATGAGATTTTACACTTATCCCAAAAGAAACTTCTGCTGCTTGCTAATGAATCTTTCTTACTCAAAATGATCTCCATAGAAATCTGCAAAGCAGAGACCACCAACTTGATGTCAAAGCTTCATTTTGAAATCTTCAATAATCTGTCAAATGCATTGAAGGATGTTCATTGACTCAGTCAAACAACAAGTTTCTTCTAATATTAATATTTTACTTGTATATGTTGACCTGCAACTTGTTTGAACTTGAAGCTTGGGATAAGGGTGGTGGACTCTGGTTTTCTCCAGGAACAAACCATCACACTGTTTCTGACAACACTTCTCCAACCTTTATAATTATTTTAGTGTTGTTAAGACAACATGATCATAAAATATCTCCTACCTATTGAATCTGCCTATCATTTTCTGTTCACCTATTTCATCACTAATATATAAATCCCATATTTTTCTTGTTTGAAGTGGTTGGAACCCTGGGAGATGCCCACCCCACAAAGAAGGAAAGGGACATAGACTTCTGAGATGCCCCCCCCCCCCCCCCCCCCCCCCCACCCACACACTTTACACAATGGAGTACAGTGAAGAAGAAGGTGCATGCCAGTACTGGCAGTAGATAAGATTCCATGATACATGCTTTATAGTATTCACTTGCATGCTCACAAGTCATAGCTGGATTGCTGCTGTTGGATAAGGGAGGGGAGTTGAAGAGTTATCCACTTCAATGAGGAGATCCACTAAGTTTGATTTCAGGTGCTTGGAGATTTAGTGAACACTCATCTTGTTCCCTCTGTGCTGGTATCTTATCTATAGAAAAACTAATGTGAGAACAGATGATTTTGTTTGTGTAAATTAAAAATGTTAATTACTTATGTAGCACAACATTAGGAGCTTTATTAACAGAGATGTGAGATCAACAAAATCTGAGAGTTGATCAGAAGCAAATTTCTATGCATTTCATAAGAATTTAAAGTCATAATTTTTTTTCCTCCCGGCTTAAGTCACGACCAAGTTGACCACCGACGGGGTGGACACACGAAGCAGTAGTAGCACTTAAGTCGTGACGCAGTGGTTGGAAGCGGAGCCACACTGGTGCTCTCGATGATCCTAACCATGGATCTGATGAGATCGACGGTGGTGATCATCCGGGAGATCTGCTGGCGGTCAAAGGACGGTTCATTTTTTCCACGGCGCGGCGCCGCCACAGCGACCGACAGCGGCGGCGAACGCGGACGTTGTGGATAAAGTGGGTCCCGCCCCGGCCTCCGCCCGACCGTCGGTCTCGGACACGCGTCAATCAGGCCGGTCCATCGGGTGGATCCCAGATTCGCGTCCCGCAGACACCCCTTCTTCTGGTCCTTAATCACCACAATGCCATCCTCCCCTTCCGCCGGGAACCATAGCCACGCCATGTAAGAAGACCTAAACAACAACAGGCACCAGCTTTTCTGTGACAACATATATATATATATATATATATATATATATATATATATATAGCCTTGTTTGGAAGGCAAGATGTCATACATATGAGCTCTAAACTAATAAGAACAAGAATAGTTTGGTTGGTTCACGATAAGAACGAAGAGCTGGTGGTGGATGGCCAACCTTATAATATCCGGCGGAGAAGGCGAGATGATGCTTACGTGCATGCGGTGGGCGGACGCTGCGTATCTCGAGAGAGACCCACAGGAAATCCAATCCCCATTATTGTTTCTTGGTGGCCTCATTCCGCCAAAGAAGACGACGCCAAAAGGCTTCCCCATCTTCTTCCAGATTTTGACTTCCACATGGCTTTATCCATTACCTTACATGCTGATCACGTCGTCCGTTGATCAAAACTCAAGATTAATAATGCCTGCGCAGCTTTGCTTGGTTACAACTTTGACGGTTCTGGTGGTGAATAGGGAGGGGATGAAGGGATGTAGTTTGAAGATGAACTTATCCAACTGATGCTTGAAGTATGAGTCACAGAGAGAGAGAGAGAGAGTTGTATGGACGACGACGGCTGTTGAGTATTAACTCGTCCTCGTTATCCACCATCCTACATGATTACCTCGAGATTTAAGATGCTTTATCTCCTCATCAGCTGATCAAAACACAAGATTACTGCCTGCGGAAACTTGTTTGGATACAACTGTTCTGATGGTGAATAGGGAATCAGGGAATGAAGTTTGAAGATAACCTCAGCATGAGAGAGAGAGAGATGTTGTGACTCGGAACCCAACCAAGTCTTCTATCTAAATAATTCAGGATATCATAATCGCTGACTCAGAACCCGACTAAAGTCTTCTATCTAAATTAATTGGGGATAAACTTAGGATATGCACGCAAGTTATGCCACTTGACCTAATCCAATCTAATCCACTCAGGGGCACATTTTGGATATATATATAGATAGATAGTTTTACGTGCCATACATGCTATCTCCAGATATATTATATCTCAAAGTTAGATATGCTATGATACCCCTTTCTTTTACTTGTCATTGGAAGTTTAATCTATCCTTCTATCTTCCACCTTTTGGTTAACTTGCTAATTTGAATGTGAGTGTGTGATTCATCTTTTAACTGTGAATAATTGAGGAAATTTATCTGAAATATTTTATAAAAAATAAAAATAAAAAATAGTACGAGTTCCTCTTCAATAGATTTTTGTCATTGTTTATATATTGTGGAGATATATCTGCAAAATATATTTTCCGATAATGGCATTTATGAAAACAACTAAAAAATTTAATGGCATTTCCAGATTTCAACCCCAATATATTAAATAATATTTTTATATATATAAAAGAAAAAATCCAACCACGGCGTTACAAAGTAATATTAAAAAGTAATAAAGCAAAGTAGTGTAGACAATAAAGCGTACATTAAATGACTTCCATTCCCATCTCCATCTCTATCTCCATCTTCGCCACGTCTCCTTCTCGCCTCTGTTTCCCCCTCTCATATAGACAAAGAACTCAAAGCAGAGAGATAGGTCTCTCCGAGCTGTTTCGATCTCCCCGGCGAAAGACCTCTGACGACGCTGATCCCGCCGTTGTGAGGTATGTGTACCCCGATCCCGAGCTCTTTGTGTCGGTCGTGGTGCTTGCGCTGAGTTCTTTGTGGTTCCTTCTTGATGACCTTTTACTGCTTGTTTGATCAATGTAGTGAAAGATTTGTTTTTGGAGATTGTTCTGATTGACTCGGAATAAAGTGAAGATTTTTATGGTTTTCTTCGGTCGATTCTATTGCTTGCATCTTTGAATCCATGGTAAGTGGGTGAGTGGAATGGGGTTGTCGTGATCTCGAGAACTGTTGAGGGAGACAAGGATGTTTCTTTTATGGCTAATCTTTTACGGTCATCTCTCTTTTTTTCTTCTTTTTTTTCTCTCTTGAATCGGATTAAATCTTTCCTTGTGATTGTGTTTACGAAGATGGGCTTGAGGAATCTTCGTTTGATTTCGTTTTCGGGGAATGTTTTAGCTCTTTTTGTTGTCTATAGAAAGTGAGGTGGCTTGGATAAGTTTAGGACGTAAGAACCAAAGTTGGCTTTGTTACCTCCAAAATCCTTTCTGCTAAATGCATAGTTTTCTGCAAAATAATGTACATATATTTGACAAAGGCTCACTCTTATGAAAACTATCTTTATTAGAGCAAAGACAAGGTCACTGCTGGCAAAATTTGTTTTTCTTTTTTGTTGATTTGAACTTGTTTTTGTGTATGTGTTAAAGATGCCAATGCTTTGACTGAGGAAATTCTAATTTTTAAGGCTTTGTTACTTTTAGTGGATTGAATCTCTAACCATGTGATAATCTTTCTGAATTATGTGATGAAACAGAAACGCTTACTTATATAATAAGCTACTGATGGCATTTGTAAACCGTCTAAAATTAAGATGCGAAAATTATTCAGAGGGTTATCTCATCACTCATTCGTCAAGCTAGATTGAGATGAGCAATAGATGAATTTTCTGATATGATTGAGATAATGACACAAAACTAGTAACTTTTTTAACACCACCACTCCTTTGCCATCATCACCCTTGATTCTAGGGTGCTGGGGACTATTTGTATATGATTGAAGTGATTGTCTTACTTCTTTCAATGCTTTCTTCAAATGGTTTGTGCTGTAGGTATCAGGTCATACCTTTGTTTTTTTTTTTTTGCTTGTGTCAACTGGAAAATAGATTTCTTTTCATTTCTGAGTTATTTTGTGCAAATATAAATATCTGTAAGATTCTGATGTTACTTAGATTGGTTTGATTTTCATTGAGATTTTGTTTCTCCATGCGAAAACTTCGCATGTAAGTTCATAGGAATAAAAATGATGATGATGACTAGGTGATGAATCTTATTGCTTGAGTTTGCATCAATAAGAAGTTAATGTTGTTGATGGGAAATAGTTCCTACCAGGATTGTCAGGTTTCCTTATATTGGATATGACAGAATTAGTGTGATGAAGGGCATGTTCATGACGGGACTAAAAAGAAGAATATATATATATATGTATATATATATTATATCATTTCAGATGGAGACTGGGAGATAGAGAGAAAGGGAAGATGATAAACTCGGAGATGAAGGTTGTGTACCTTCTCATGGGTGCATATAGATGATGGAATCCTACCATCTAAAAGAAATGTAGTGTTATCACTACGGATGAGAAAAACATTTTAATTCATTCAATCATTCTGTGATCTCCAGTTGCAGTTCATTTCCTCTTTTTAGTCCCTCCAAGTACAAGATGAAAACGAAATTACAAGTATAAGGCAGAATAAAAAAGGAAAATCGCATTCCATAAATTAAAATATATAAATCATTAGATATTTCCTTCTTAGGAGAAGATATACTTTCATATTTCCTTTGGCAAATAATCTTTGTTGTTGATGAAATAATTGATGAGATTTCTTTTTAGTACAAATCGAATCTGATCCCTTTTCATTTCTAAATTTCATATCTTTTTTGCATTTATTCCATTCTTCATCTCTTGCTTAAATTACTTTCTGGGGTCCAGCTAAGTGAGTTATTGTTCCATCATTATTGATGTATGATAGGTCGAACCTCATAGTTTGATCTGACTGTACAAACTTCTTTCATCTAGTCTATATTTATGTTTCGACTGCATAAATTTGATATTCTGTTTAGTGGTTTCTCTTATGTGTCTAATCTGTTTGCTTTCACAGGTTTGAATCTAGTAATACACATATATATATTTAAACGTGTAAGCTTTCGAGATAGTAATTGGAACTGGGAGCTTCTTGCTTGGTGGTTTTACTGACTTGTTAAAAGCCAGAAAGCTTTGAGAAATATGTTGTCAAAATCGTGTGCCAACCTTTTAGAAATGGGGGCTGACGATCTAATAGACTTCAGTATGTCTATTAAATCACTTCCTAGAGTAATGACAACTCCAGGAATAATAAATGACGCAGATGAAGGAGCATGCACTGATGAAGACTCTTGTACTACCACATCACTATTCTGTGATCGTAAAATCATAGTAGCAAACTTCCTTCCGCTAAACTCTATGAAAGATCAAATGACTGGAGAATGGTGCTTCACATGGGATGAGGATGCACTGCTGCTACAACTGAAAGATGGATTTTCTTATGATACTGAAGTCATATATGTTGGATGTTTGAAGGCTGATATAGATGTCCGTGAGCAAGAAGTAGTTTCTCAAAAGCTATTGGAAGAATATGGGTGCATGCCAACCTTCCTTTCTCCTGATCTTTATAAGAAGTATTACCACGGGTTCTGCAAGAAGCAATTATGGCCTCTTTTCCATTATATGCTTCCTATTGGTCTTCATAAGGGTGATCTCTTTGACCATTCTCTTTTTCAAGCCTATGTTTCTGCAAATAAAAAATTTGCAGACAAGGTTTTGGAGGTAATTAATTCAGATGATGACTATGTGTGGATCCATGATTATCACCTCATGCTTCTTCCAACATTCCTAAGAAAACGACTGAATCGAATCAAAATTGGTTTCTTTCTTCACAGCCCCTTTCCCTCATCCGAAATCTATCGGACGTTGCCTGTCAGAGAGGAAATACTCAAGGCATTGCTTAATGCCGATTTAATTGGCTTCCAGACATATGATTATGCACGGCACTTCCTTTCTTGTTGTAGCAGGATGTTAGGCCTGCATTATGAATCCAAACGTGGTTATATAGGACTCGAATATTATGGACGCATAGTGAGCATCAAGATTCTCTCTGTCGGTGTTCATATAGGCCGGCTTCATTCTGTACTGAATCATCCTCATACAATTTCAAAGGTTCAGGAGATTGAGAAAAAATTCAAGGGGAAGAAGTTGCTACTCGGTGTCGATGACATGGATATATTTAAGGGCATTAGCCTGAAGTTGCTTGCCTTCGAGCTTTTGTTGGAGAGAAGTCCCTATTTAAGAGGAAATATTGTCCTTGTGCAGATTGTAAACCCTGCAAGAAGCACAGGAAAGGATGTGAAGGAAGCAAGAGAAGAAGCAATATCAATAGCTGAAAGGATTAACAGTTCTTATGGTACTCCAGGCTATGATCCGGTGGTACTTATTGACAAGCCTATCCCTTTCTATGAAAGAATTGCTTACTATGTGGCAGCAGAGTGTTGCATTGTGAATGCTGTGAGGGATGGCATGAACTTGGTTTCCTATGAGTATGTAGTTTGCAGGCAGGGAACGGAGGAGATGGACAAGTGTAGGGGTGTCAATATGGGCGGTTCACACACAAGCACACTTATTGTATCTGAGTTTGTTGGTTGCTCTCCGTCACTTAGTGGAGCCTTTAGGGTCAATCCCTGGAGTGTTGAGGATGTGGCTGATGCTCTTCATCAATCAATCATATTGGGAGAATCAGAGAGACAGTTGCGTCATGAAAAACATTATCGTTATGTCAGCACCCATCATGTTGCTTACTGGGCTCACAGCTTTTCTCAGGATCTGAAGAGAGCATGCAAAGACTACTACAGTCAGAGGTGCTGGGCTCTTGGATTTGGCCTAAATTTCCGTGTACTTTTCCTTTCACCTAATTTTAGGAAATTGACATTCAATCATATTGTATCATCCTACAAGAATACCTACAGAAGAGCTATATTTTTGGACTATGATGGCACCATTATGCCTGAATCATCTGTCAACAAAACTCCAAGCCAAGAAACCATATCTATCCTGAATGGCCTGTGCAGCGATCCAAATAACACTGTGTTTATTGTCAGTGGCAGAGGCAGGGATTCTCTTAGTGAGTGGTTTTCCTCATGTGAAAACCTTGGAATTGCTGCTGAACATGGCTATTTCATCAGGTACAATTCATAAAAGCTACTCATACTTCCTAATTTTGTGTTTTCTATTGTTACCTTGTTTCCTTGATTTGGTTCTCTTCTTTTCCCTTATAGGTGGAGAAAGGATGTTGAGTGGGAGTCCAATTCAGTTGTTGCTGATTCTGATTGGATGAAGATAGCGAAACCAGTTATACAATTATATACTGATACCACAGATGGTTCATTTGTAGAAGTAAAGGAGAGTGCAATTGTATGGCATCATCAATATGCAGATCATGACTTTGGTCCCTGCCAAGCTAAAGAACTACTGGATCATCTTGAGAGTGTTCTGGCAAACGAGCCAGTGGTTGTTAAGCGGGGTCAACATATTGTTGAAGTAAAACCTCAGGTGCAAACTTATGGTGGAAGATTTGCGTGTCGTAGTTCTTCGGTGCTTTTTCTTGCTCTACCGGCATCTAACAACAAGATTGTATATGTGCAGGGAGTTAGTAAAGGGCTGGTGGTGGAGAAGCTTCTTGGGACTCTGAGCAACTGTGGGAAGCCACCGGACTTTGTGATGTGCATTGGTGATGACCGATCTGATGAGGACATGTTTGAGAGCATCAACAACACCGCTTCAAGCAATCTATTTCCATCAGTTCCCGAAGTCTTTGCATGTACAGTTGGTCAAAAGCCAAGCAAGGCCAAATACTACGTTGAAGATACCAGTGAAGTTCTAAGGTTATTACGAGGTATCACTGCTGTCTCAACTCAGAATCAAAAGTTCACACACTATCAGGTTTCATTTGAAAGTTCGAGTTGAGGTCGATTTTTGACTGTCTTTTTTGTTCATATGCTAGTCATAGCACCTGTACATCCTAATGAGCTCTACATGTTGAGTTCAATCTGTTTTAGCATACATGTGAATTCATGCCTTCTTCAGCCTTCATTTGTTCTTCCAATCATCCAGCAAGCTTTATAGCATCAGAAACAGTAAATTTCTAAGTGGAAGGAGATGCACCAAAGGCGATTTTGTTACAAGTTTGCAAAATATTGTCTTATTCGTTGAAGTTTCAGATGTTCTTGCCATTGTTTTGTACAGATTATGGCATGTTCTGACATTGGTTTGTTGGAGTACATAGACATTGTGGTTTGAATGAGATATGATTCTCGCACTTGTTTCATTGTGGGATTGACTTTGTGATTGTGGTTGTGATATGGATGAAAGTGAAACTATTGAAGGTTGACTTTTATTTCATAGTGTGGTGTGAAGACAGTCAACTATTTTCCTTCTTGGATCTGATAAGTTATAGGATCTGGATCTTAGATGGACCCGACCCGATAACACAGCCACCCGGAAACCTTCACAATTGGCATCACTCCTCCAAGCGACAAGCTGCTGCGTGACTCCACAGCCATCTCTGCAGTAACTCCAACAATGTTCAGAGTGCACAGAGAGCAGCACTCTTCACCTTATGCCACTCACGAGAACCCCGCGGACCACTCTGCTGCCCTCGTTGTAATCTTACCTCTTCCTCCCTTCAATGCTTGTAATGATTCCCGTGACCACAGCCGACCTTTGAGCCTTCATCACCTCCTTTGAAACAAGGTCAGATTCCTCCAGCACCAGATCTGAACTACTGTGCGTATCTTGCAGCTCAAACCAGCATTCAAACTCCAAGTTTGGCATTCAAACATTGTAATCTTGGATCGGAGTTGATGCTGAGCTGCCTGCTGACTGTAGTTTTCTGCATCCAGTGTGAAGGAAGAGAGTAGGACAAAGAAAAAGCAGCTGGAGGTGATGGATCCCCTCCAATGCTGCCCACATGAAAACAGGAGTCACATGCAATTATGAAAAGGTGAGAAAGTGGCAAACGAAGGTGGAGGAAGGAATATATCCACAGGAGAATCCACAGGAACGAAAGCAAGTGTTGGTGTTGCCGGCAGAGTCTGCTGACTGTGAGTAATCCCCACCCCACCACCTTGAAACTTGTGTACAAAGTGTGAAGTAACCTGTAAAAAGAAGGAAGGAAAAAGAAGCTCTCCCAACTTTGTTTGCACTGTTGTTTAGTGTAAAAATCTGCAGCAATTGTTTAGGATTCTAAGTAGAGGAATTGAGTGTGGCTTAAAGGCTACAGTGGATGCTGAACGGCAGCAGTGGCATGTGACAGCCCTGTTTGTTTTCTCCTAACTCTATTCACACTCCCGTGTCCTGCATGTTCCTCACTACCTCACTCACTCAGTCCTCACTTGTCTCTTTCTCGCTGCTCTTTGCTCTTTTGCCTTACAGGAGGTCAAGAACAAGGGACTTAAATAAGAGAGAGATTAGACGGTGAAGGGTCTGATGGGCTTCTTCTTGCTTCCAATCAAGAACTGGCTTCGGATGGGTTCCTCCTGTTCTGTGCTGTGAGTTCACATTTCTTCCTTGTTTCTCCGAGGGATCAGTAGTCCTTTGCAAGAGCAGAGACATCAGTGGAAGAATATGAGAGGGTTGGAAGTGCTCATTCTTCTACTGGTTCTACTGAGTGGGTTTAACTCAGCTTCAGCTGCTTCACCTGGGAGTGAGTTCTCTTCTTGGCTCATGTTCTGCACTTCATATTTGTGTCTGTTTATACTGCATTATCAACTCATCCTCTGATCGTGTTACTAGAAATTGTTAGTGCGGCTGTGTCCAATGCTGCCTCTGCTCTATTGAAGAGGTTGTGGTCGCTGAAGTCTACTCCAAAGACAGGTATAATTCGCCCAACCCTGATGCCTTTTGATTTCCTTGACATATTGTTGAGCTGATCTGACTACATTTCTTGCAGCAATCTCTGGCCACCGCCCTTTGATGAAATTTGAGGGTGGATACACTGTTGAGACGGTGTTCGATGGAAGTAAGCTCGGGATTGAGCCTTACTCGGTTGAGGTGACGCAGAATGGGGAGCTGCTGCTTCTTGATTCAGTCAACAGCAATCTGTACCGGATCGCGCAGCCATTATCTAGATGTGAGCTTCTGTCACTGATTTTAAATGGGAACTGAAGCGCTTCCTTCATGTGTCCTTTGTAATTATATTCAATTAATTGTGGCGTAGTGAATTTTGAGCAGCAATATTCAGATCAGTCGAAGTTTTATAACTGTATTGTATCATTCTGCCATATGGTAGATTTTCATGTGTTTTATCTTCAGATGTTGAGTGAACATGGTGGCTACCATACTATTAGAGGTTATTCTTTTATTATAAATTTTGGTTGATATACATTCTATTGCATTGAACAAATTAATTTTTGGTCCATTTTCTTAGAAAATCAGCATTCTTCTATAGAGTTTTTAGAGCTAAACTTAGTTACTCGTTCAAGTTTTTAGCTTATAATGGTGATGAATTGACATGTCATGGCATTTGTATTTTATCAGACTTGCGGAGAGGCAGGTTACTTATGATCCTTTCACATTTTGACTTTTATCCTGAGTCTCAACTGAGATTCTTCATCTGTAGGTGATAGTACCGACTCTTAGAACATGACAAAAACAAAAGATGTTCAATTCGGAACTGACTTATCGATCTAAAGATAGCTAGCAGCAGACCTTACGTATTAAGTTATCATCATTGCTAATATTTGCTTTGAAATTATTTTTGTTCCATCTCAATGGCTGTAAAATTGCTTGTATAATATTGATGGTGAGGAACACTTGAAATTGTTTTTGGTGTGGCTGCATATACATTTAACCACTTCTACTGATCATATTCATTCATTCAATTGACAAATGCAGATAGCAGACCCAAGCTTCTTGCTGGTTCTCCAGAAGGGTATGTTGGTCATGTTGATGGAAGGCCACGAGAAGCAAGAATGAACCATCCAAGGGGCTTTACAGTTGATGGAAGGGGAAGTATATATATTGCAGACACAACAAACATGGCAATCAGGAAAATTAGTGACGCAGGTAAGAGAAAAGTCAAGAAATACAACCAACAGATGCATGATAACTTTGTGGGTTATGGTAGAATTCCTGAAGTTCATTGCAGATTTCTTAAAAGAATTATATGCACAAACCAACATATTTGAAATTCATCTGATTGCCCCTAATAGATGCCAGCTAGAATGCACTGGTTGTGATAACATGGGTGGTGAGTTTGTTCAATTCGATTCCCTTCCCTCCTTTTTGAATTTTTTTCTTGAGCTTAACTTCGTATCTGATTTTTCATAGGTTCTGTTTAGTGTGCTCAGTCTAAATAAATAGCAAAGACTAATGTTGGTACACATATTGCTTATTGTCAACACAAAGACCAGTATCTCTGTTTCGAGATATATCAACAGGATCAAAAGGAAGAAAATAGTTATTGAGGATATTCTCTTTTCTTTTTCTTTGACAAGAAAAGTGGGGGAATAATTTTAAATGTTGTCAGATTAGCTAGTGTTGTAATTGCCAATATAGGATACATGGTTTTGGTTGTTCATTTAGCCTTATTTATATGCTTGATTGAAGAGAGCTTAACAAGTGCTAGGTTATTTGAGAGGAAAAGAAAACGCAATTGGACTAGAAAGATTAATGTTAGTGGAGTGGACCTAGTCATATGTTTAACTATTGCTAAGGAGTTGCAAATGATGTAAGCATGATTCATTGGATCAACGATTGCATTTACATGGTCAATGAACTCCCATCTTCAACTTATGTAGCAATCAATATTCTTTGCTTGAATTCTTTTTGTCAGATATAACATTTTCCCCATGGCACTGGATATTGTTCCTGTAACCACGATTAGATGAGTGGAAATTTGGATAAGATTTCAGAAAGTTGTTCTAAATGGAAGAATATGTATGGATTTGGGGCAAGCTCATTTGACAAGGGTGATTTGATGATGGATGAGTAGGTTTATTCAGAAGCGAAACAAACATAGGTTTGATGAAGCTGGATGATGTAACTGGAGTGGAACTTGCTTATATTTTCATTTATGATAGACAAATTACGCAACCAGAATATAATCCATTAGAGTGCAATAAATTGTTCATCAAACAAACAATTGGTTGGGTAAAACCCATGATGTTAAACAATATAGTTTTTTTTCTTTACTTTCTAAAAAGACACTTTGAATTTGGATAATAATACATTGATGTTTCTCATTTTTGTGACTTACTTTAAGGACCTGCGTTGTATAGGTCCCCTGGATTTCCCAGAGCAACTGTTGAAGTTGTAAATGTCAGGTAGCATTGTCCATGGAGCTACTAAGTGAACAACATTGTTTGTCTGACTACATATTTTGTATTTGTGCAGGGGTCACAACCATCGCTGGGGGAAAGTGGAGCAGAGGTGGGCACTCAGATGGGCCGAGCGAAGATGCAAAGTTTTCTACAGATTTTGAAGTTGTTTACATTGCTAGCAGCTGCTCTCTTCTAGTGGTGGACAGGGGGAACCAGGCAATCAGGGAGATCCAGCTTCATTTTGATGATTGTGCACACCAATATGAAACTGGTTTTCCTCTTGGTACGCTTGGTGATCTTACCATGAGCCAACTCGTTTGGTTCTACTTTCAGTTAAGAGAAGAGTAAAAAAAGTCTTAATAGCAAGTACATAAACATACTGTCACCTTGAATTATCGTTTATAGAGTTCTATGCCTTGATATTTGGTGGAACATTCTAATTCTTGTCTTTTCTGACAACATAGGAGTTGCAGTGCTACTTGCTGCTGGTTTCTTCGGTTACATGCTTGCTTTACTCCAGAGGCGTGTGGGAGTAATGGTCTCTTCAAATAATGTGAGCAATTCATACCAAATGAATCTGATTTAGTAGATGAATCATTTGATGGATTATGCTGTGGCAAATATTCGCAATTTAAAACAGTTCAATCAATTTTTCCTGCATGATTCTGCTATTCGGCTAAACTAACCGTTGTGTTAATGGTTTGACATTTTCCTAATTTACTTTAATTATTTATTTTCTAATTTTAAATTTGCATATTCTTCATGCTGCTCAGGTAGCCTCCTTTGCCGTTTTTGATTCATGAAGTGCATTCTTCCTCCAAGAATTTTATTACTCCAAAGATTTTAAACTGATCTTTGTAGTTCTGTTTGATTAAAGAAATGGAGGCATATTTGAAGTAAATTCTTTCTTAGTACATCATTTCCTCTAACTTTTGCTTACTGTTGAAAAAGGATTTTGTTCAGGAACCTCAAACTCCTACAAAAGCAAGCATGCCTCCTTATCAGAAACCAATGAAGCCATCGATGAGACCACCACTTATTCCGATTGGAAGTGAAGCAGAGAACATAGATGATGAAGGCCTCTTCAGCTCCATGGGAAAACTTTTATTTGGAGCATGGTCGTCAACAGCAGAAATCTTTGCTGCAATGTTCCCAATCTTCAGAAAGAAACCGAAAACCACACGATACCAGCAGCAGCAACGGAAAGCAAACACTCGGCCGATGCCAGAGAGTTTTGTCATCCCAAATGATGAGATGCCACCACCAGTGGAGACCAAAGCTCCTACTCCACATAAAACTTATGCCTTTATGTCAAAAGAACCAGAAAGGATCCACCATATCCGCCAAGCACGAACTTACTTTACTGGGTGGGATGCAGAGCCACAACCGCAACAGCGAATACATCGACAGCAGCACCTTCAACAGCATCAGCATCACTCATCGGGCCCTCAGACTTACTATGAGCAGAGCTGTGACACAACCAATGAGATTGTTTTTGGAGCAGTTCAAGAGTTGAATTGCAAGCGGAAGTCGGTGGAGATCAAGACTGTGAATTATGGAGATCCCGTCTATGAGCAGTATGGTTTGCGGTTCCCAAACAGCTACGTGGGATATGACAACTACTAAGCGGTTACTAGTAGTTGCCAATTTTTTTCCCCTTTTTCTTCCATGACCAAAGACTTCTGTCAGTTTATATGTGATCTCTTTTCTCTTTTACATGTCTATATAAATTGGAGAAGCACCATGGGATCTGGAATGACTTTGAAATTTTGAAGAATCTTTATCCTTTTTGTAAGAGCAATTTAAATCCTTAATCGATATGGTTTTGTAAATTTAGTTGAATTTTTGTTTCTATACACAGTTTTACACTTCCACACTTTTCCTATTGGTGGCAGAAGCCCCCTAAGTTGAATATTCAAGTTTTCTTATGTCTTTATCAAAGAATATATAAATACACACCCCCCAAACACATGTTTTGATTACACATGTGGCATCTACATTGCTTGCAGGCCTAGGGGTAAGATTTTAATCTTAAGCCTATACAAATAGATTGATGACATGGCATCTGAGTTAGTATCTACCTCAGGTGCCACATCAACCCTTGAATGTGGAAGAACTTCAGCTGATATGACCAACCCTGCAGCCTTCACTACCTTAATGTTGTTGTTTTCCATTTTGATCACTCTCAAAGATACCAACACAACCTCAAACCTTGTCTATGGCCAAAAAGACAATCTTCTTATCAGGTAAGCCTTTTAACTGGACACCAATTGGAAAGGGAAATAAAAAAAGAAAGGAACATCTTGCTGAAATAGTTCATATAAATACTGGCTTTTGTATTAGGTTTGACCCAAGAATTTGGGGCTCAGATGTCTAAAGTTTATGCCCAACTTTGGGTCTTCCAATGAACAGATTTAACTTTTGTTTTTTTCATCTGAAGCATTTAAGATATAATGCAAATGGAATCACAGGGCAACTTCTTTATGTAGTACCCACATGAGCACAGCTCACTACTAGGGAGTATTTGCCAAAGAAACCTGGGAAATAGAAGGTGTAGAATACCATGAATGTAGGCCTTCAACTTAATGATCTATTGCTGTATGCATACCCATTTGGATCTTGCATCATTTGAATTGCTTCTATAGAGAAGAGTTAACAATTACAGCAATCTCTTGGTTGGCAGTCCCATTTTGTCACTTGCTGTTTTGATATTTTATCATGAAGTTTTTGATCAGGGATGATAACTAATGCCAAGAACAAAGGCCAGAATGCTTGGAAAATTGTATCAGCAGTTGACTGATAATTTAAAGTTCTTGCAGTGGAAGATCAATTCTAAATTGTCAAAATATTGCATGTGAGCATGCAGATACTGAAACATCAATTTGAAATGCAATTGCTGATGCAACTAATGATACCGTCTATTGATTTGAAGAAATTGTGGCATGACTCTTGCTTTTGCCTTTTGGTATGAAGAAACCATTGCATAGTCACAGACTTAATGCCCCAAAAAGAAATAACTGAAGCTTTCATACAAAACAATCATCAAGAAGACTTCCAGCAGCAATAGCAGCTGAGAACACTGCATAACATTGGCCATAAGGGTTCTAACCTTCCTGAACCACAATATTTACAGAAAAAAAATCGAAAAAAGGATTCCATAGTTACATATACATATATATATTCACAGCAAAAAATGATACCATATATATATACACACAAAAGAATTATATTTACACCCAATGGCCGAGTCTGATGCTGGCGAAGTTCTTGCTGTAAGGCAGGAAGCAAGGAGACACAGAATAAACACATATTGCCAAACTTTAGTGTTCCCAAATCGATTTGAATCTTTGTTACGGATGCATATCTTTGCTGCTTCCTTCACTCTTGCTTTTCTTGCAACTTGCAAGGAATGATTTGCTCCGAGTATTCACAAACATCCCACAGCTCCTTTCTTGCTCTGCTTTAATCAACATCTTTTTTCCTTGTTCTTTGCCTGAAGCACCAAGATCTTGATGTGGTGAACAATATAATAAACACATCAAGCTCTAGCTGTCAGCAACTTGTTTCATGCTGATAAGTGTTCTGCAGGCCACTGTAAAGTTGTTTCATACTGAGAAGTGTTCTGCAAGCCACTGTTCAATATACTTTTGGCCATCTGCAACAACAAAATTGAGGAATATATCTAAAAATTTATTTTCTAACAATTCAAATCAAGTAGCATAAATTATAACGCATTCTAGTTGACAAGGGTCTCTCTCACTTAGTTTCTTGAGAGAGAAGCTATGATGATGAAAGCTCTTCCTGGGGAAGCTCTGCTTCCCCCTCCTTCGAATGATTCGTCTCCTCTGCTGCCTAATGTATCTTCAAATTTATTTGTAGATGCAAGCCATCTAAAAGGAAACAAGCAACGACGATTTTTCCAACGATAAAGAGGGTGACTACCCCAGGCCCTACTCCTTTTCTGGTGGTGCCATCCTTCTAGGCTAGCCTCTTCAAAAAAACAAAGGAAGCCAAAGAAGGACAACCATACTCTGGATTGGAGAGGAAACTATTCGAGATCCAAAGCCAAGCTGCCCTTAGAGTTGAACTCAATCCTCAAGAAGTATGATCTACTTATGAGGAATGACGGATGAGCTTCTATGATAAGTTCCTAGGTAGGATTCCATCATTAGAGTTTTTGAAGACTGCGCTCCCTAGACTTTGGAGACTGTTCCATTGTGGATATGGATGGTTAGAGGCTTCTTATATTTTCAGGTCCATAATATGGATGAGATGAATTAGGTGCTACTGGGAGGACTGTGATTCCTGTGAGAGCAATCTCTAACCCTAATACCTTGGAAGGTAGGGCATAGAACATCAACTTGTGAATCGAGTCTCGCTTTGGCCCCATCTTCTTCAACTTCGGCAATGGTCTCGAAGGGAAACCCTAATCTGGAGGAGGATGATGAATGTTGTATGGGCAGCTGTGGGTAAGGTTCATCAGAGACCCAAGCACAGGAATCCAAAGACGGACTCAGCTAACCAAGTGCGTGGGAGAGGAGTAGTTCGTGCGGTGGTAGGGCCTGATCTGGAGTTGAGTTCGAGTTCACTTGGCTTGATTTAATCGAGGAATACGGTCCCTGTGATGGAATTGAACCATGGCCTGGGTCTTAACCCTGGTTCTGGGACTACCTCATATGTGCCTTCCCCTCCACGAGGAGTATTCAATGCTAAATGTCCCGTTTCCTTTATGAATCAAGTCCTTTGTCAGAGGGCCAAGGTTCCATTTTTGATGCTGTCATTTACAAAATTTTGTCTACAATTTGTGCAAATCAAATCAAACCCCTCCTCAATATGTTAATTGACCAAACCCAATCTGCATTTGTCCCGGATAGGAACATACATGATAACATAATGATCTCCAATGGATTGGCCTCTTCGATTTCTAAATCTCATAGTAAAATTTCTTTGACTCTGCTCAACCTTGATGTTTCCAAAGCTTATGATGGAATCAGCTGGTCGGCCATTGCTAACACACTTACTAGGATGGCTTTCCCTAAGCCTTTTGTGGATTGGATCTATGCTTATATTTCTTTCCCTTCTTTCTCCTGTTTGATCAATGGGAAGGAATCTAAATGGTTTAGAAGTCATTGTGGGATTAGGCAAGGTGACCCCATATCCCCGTATCTATTCATTCTTGTCCAACAAAACTTAAGCAACTTGTTTAAAGAGGAAGTGGAGTCTAAGGTGTTCTCCCCGATTAACCTGCATTGTATAAAGATTTCACACCTCATGTTTGCTAATAACCTTTTGGTTGCCTTTAGGGGAAACAACAAATCCTATCAAACCCTTCAGGTGATCCCTGACAAAGATGAAGGCCTCACTAACTTAGCTGTCAACAGACTTGCATCTGAGATATTTTTCCACCTTAGGAATAGTGGGCAGGAAAGTATCAGAATATGTCAAACCCTTAAGAGTGCAGGAGGGGCAATGACCAATTAAGTATCTGAGTTCTTTTATCACTCTTAAGAGACTGAATGAGAGACACCAAACTGTTTTGGTGGACAAAGCCCTAGGTAAGGTTTAAGGTTGGTTCAAAGGCCTTATTTCCCAAACTGGGAAGACCACTTTGATGAGCTTGATCCTCAATGCTATACCTACACACATTTTAATGAATACCTGTATGTATGAAAAAGTCATCAAGAAGATGAAAAAATGGCTAGGGAATTCTTCTAAAATCATGAGGAAAACAAGAACAAAATGAATCTTATTGGATGGAGTATGGTCACTACTCCTAAGGAGGAGGGGGGACTAGGGATTAGAGACCTGAGGTTGGTTAGGAAAACTCATTGTGCCAAACAGCTAATTCCTCTCCTCAATAGTGAAGACCTTCATTGGGTTAAAGTGCTTAAATCAAAATATGATCCCCTTACACCTTGGGGGCACAATAGAATCCAGAGGTCTTCTTGGAATTGGAGAAACCTGAGTATTTGTTGGGAGTTGTCCAGATGGGGTTCAAGAGGTGCATAGGATCTGATTGGAATACCAAAGTTTGGACTGAACCTTGGATAGATGTAATGCCATTGAGCCACTGGCCTACCTATGTCAATGTTGATTTTGTATCATCTTTGTCATCAGTGGTTGATTTAACAGATGAAAATGAATGGAATTTAGACAAGCTGAATGTTGGATTCCATCCAATATTAGTAAGGAGGATTTTAGGTATATACTTAGCCAGGGACCCCAGTGATGATAAATGGGTTTGAGCCTCAACTCCAGATGGTTGTGCTTTTGCTAGCAGAGCATATCATCGGTTGAGAAGGAGTGTTCAACCTGTGCTAGATGACTGGCCTGCTGGAAGGTGATGTGGAAAGTGAATGTTTACCCAAAGATCAAGATGTTCTTGTTGAAGCTATGTTGGAACTGATTGCCTACCTCAGATTACCTGGCTAACATTATCCATTCATAGATCTTGGTGTGTCCGGTGTCCAATTACTGTAATGACTAATGAGTTCGCTTGACATGTCCTATTTCAATGCAGGTTTGCAAGGCTGGTATGGGGAATGATATCCGACAGATTCCAGTTTGACTTCCGAAATTTTGAAAACTGGTATGATGGAAGTTGGCTATCGGAGGAGCAGGATTGGGGATTTTTTGACAGAGAGGTGTTCCTAACTGTGATGACAAACACTCTATCGCAATTATGCGTAACCAGGAATGAAATCCACTTTCGCAATCGCCAGGCCAGTGCTGAAACCCTTTTAGGAGGGTGGTGGCAGCCACTAATGATTGTTTTAGGGTTCTCCAGACTCCTGAGGAGACTACCCAAACCTCTAATTTGGAGGAATACAACTTTAATCTTAAGTGTGATGGCGCTTTTAACGAAGATCTTTCTAATGCAGGTTAATGATATGTGATCAAGACAACTGAAGGCCAAATAGTAGCGATGAGATGTAGTGCGATCAGCTCGGTGCAAGTTGAAGGCTGGGCAATCCTGAGTGCTTTGTGTAGATCCAAAATGGAAGGCTGGCAGAGGGTGATGATATGCTTGGATTCTAAAGATTGGATCAATTTTGTGAATAATGTCAATCGTGTCCCTTGGTATTTATCCTCCTTGTACAGGGACATTTTGAATTTGGCCGATGAGGCCAAGGTTATTTCCTTTCAGCATATCAATAGAACTTGTAATGGAAATGCCCATAGACTTGCTAATTTGGGCAGATTCCAGGGAGGATGATCTCATTTGGTTGGGGCTCTCAGCCCTTCTCTTTCGTAGCATCTGGCTAGTTTTTGGTTTAATATATGCAGCTGTTACTTGTTTCACAAAAACTAAAACTAAAAAAAGCATAAATTATAATGCACTAATCTAAGTAACACTATGCCATACATATTACATATCACATAATAACATAAATCAGGGGCAGCCACCATACTTAACAGTGACTGTGGCAGCAAACATAATTTGTAGTGCCAAAGACTTTGTTTCTCTTTTGCACTGCTCCACTCAGCCCATTTTCATTCCTTTAAATTTGAAATAAACAGTTTTTTTATAAAGAGATAAAAAAGGAACTAGATGATCTGCAATGCATAAAATAGTTGAAATCTTTTTAGAACATTGCATAAACATGTGTGCATAAGCAATCAAATATCAATATAAGATGGAAATATTTGAGAAAGATAAACATCCAATTTATGACCATCTTACCAGAATAATCCTCATCCAGGAGATCAACAGCACCCAAAACATGCTTCTTGGAGCTGTCCACCTGCTCGTAGCGACCACGTCCATAGCATGGGACCAAGACAGCGAAGCTGTTTTCGGTCTCTCTCTCAGTCTGGAATTCGGGGGCGTGAGGTTCCAACCAGCCAATGGACCAATCCGACTCATCAGATTGGCAACACGATACGCATCCTCCATCTGAGGGCACCAGGACTACATCGTACTCCCTATCTATTTGCCGCTCCTCCAGAATATGCCACTTCCTCTTGATTCGTCGCCCATTTACCGCTGCAAATTGCAGATGATCCGGCTCCCTAAACCCCATGCGCGAATCAGAAGAAGAACCAGGAGTTGCATTGGGAGCCTCGTGACCTTTTCCTGGCCAAACCCAACAGGAGAGAAGATTGCAGGCCATACTCCACGAAGCTCCCACAATCAAGCTTGACGGATAGAATCAATGGAGATGAACAGAGATGTTACTGAAACTTCCTGCAAGATGGAAATGTTCCCAACTCAGAGCCTATACTGAAGTAATACCAATAAAAATCACACCTCTTTTATACCAAAAACACCATCAAGAAAACCAAACCATTTTAAAGAACTACGATTCCTTAAACCGCTACCTCTTTAAAGATCGAAAAAAATCGCGCAGCAAAATGCAAAAAGTAGAACAAGAAATCAAAATCCATGAAGGAATTCATCGAAATACAAAACCCTTTTCGAATAGAACTCCAAAAAGATCGAAAAGGAGACGCATTTACTAGCTCAAAGCGAGATCAAAACCCTGTCTCTTGCCTGGCAAATCGGGGACACACAAGTGGAGGATCACCTACCAAATCGGCAGGTTGACGGCTATATACTGCTACCTTCTCCCTTCCCCTCGACTTCGTCCACTGCACGCCATTTATAGTCCGCGAAACACGTGCTTTGGGCTTCGCGACACCATGATCGGGCGTTCCAGATTCCTTTGACCCGAAGCAGCGGTGAATCCCAGCCGTCTAACAGTGAGTCCCGGAAACCAGATTCATAAAGAAACGCACGGCATATACCTCGTCCCGAGACGACGGTGGGCCCAACGAGGTTGACGTGTGGAGCAAGTGTCGTGGGGCGGTTGTCTTGGTCCCGTCTAATTCTCTGCAACTTAACGTGATCGGTGCGTTTTGCGGTCCGATCATTGCCGACGATTGCCGTGCAAGATACTGCCACGTCATCCGTGTCCTCCCGTCCTGATTGATGACTCGACTCCACTCGACCTCACCCGTCCTGTTTCAAATTGGTTGCCCGCTTTCCGAACCCCTTCAAAAACCCTAACCCCTTCAAATCCACTCCCTTTCTCCACCACCGAAGAACTCCATTTGATCCTCCTCAGGGACGAGAGCGGATGGAGGGTGTTCGGACCCTCTCCATCTCCGACCTTCTACACTTCTCGCGTCCTCTCTCGGGCGCCGCCTCCCTCGGCTCCGCTTTCTCCCCCCCTTCCGCGCCAAAACGACCCAGGCCTGACGGCCCCGACGAGAACCCCATCGAACCTCCTTTCGTCTCCTCTGTTCAAAACCCTGACCCTGGAATCTTCTCGCCCCTGGGTCACCCCGTGCTCCTCATCGGCACCATCGACCTGTTTCCGGAGGATTCTGACCGATCTCTCGGCTGCCTGAACCATTGTCTCTCGTTCTCCGATGGCTCTTTGAGAATCTGTTGCTACGTTTTGGACTTCGAACTCAAGATCATCGGCCGGAAAGTCCAAGTTTTGGCGTGGAACTTCCTCCCATTTAAGCACGCAAGCGGCGGTGTTCTTGAGGTGATTCAGTGGAGCCTCGCGGAAGTTGAGACGGCATCGGATTGCGACCCCTCACTGTCGATTCCTTTGGGCTGTTCGTTGCAAGAAACCGACTTGAAGGCTCGTGGTCGTGCCTTTGGCATTCTGAGAGCGGTCAGCCCCATCTTCCGTGTGCCTTGCGTGAAAGGAAATGAGGATAGTCAGAAGAATTCCAGTGGAATCCTCATGGATAGCGGGAATTCAATAGGTTTCTTTGCCGAGGTGCTTACCTGTGGCTGTGATCGTTGTGGAGGTTCTCGTTTTCTAGAGCGTGGCCCTCACCCTCACGAAGACAATAACATACATTCTTTCACCAATTCAGTGTTTATTTATTTCATCAAACCTACATATCTATGGCGCCCAGTGCTCTTTAGGCTGATCGGGAAGGCAATTATGGTTTCGAGGTTGAAGAGGAAATTGGTCTTTGTTGGAGGTAAGGAATCATATCTGACGTTTGTGTCAACACCGCTAACTATGGTGTCCTTGAGTCAGCTTCCTACAGTGAGTCCGGTGAAGACTGACGAAGGCATGTATAATGGAGTTGTTACTGGAATTTACATGAATGGCATGGTGGTTGAATTGGATGATAAAGTCTGGCTTTTGATTACTGATTCAGTGCTTGCTCCACAACATTCTTTGAGGGTTGGCGCTATTGTATGTTGTCAACTCATCAACTGATTGCTTTAGGCAGACAGTTCCCAAGTTCAAGTTCTCTTTTCTTTTCCTTTTCCAACAACATTCTTGAGTATTCAATTTTTATTCAGATTTTGTTTAATAGTTAAGTTCAAGTTCTTTTTTTTCTTTTCCTTTTCCAACAGCATTCTTGAGTATTCATTTTTTATTCAGATATTGTTCAATAGTTATTGCATTTCTACTTGAGTTATCATGCTCTTTGGTTTTCATTTGAGTTTGTTCCAGACAGTCCTTCTCTTATCTCCTGTGATTTTGTTTTCCATATCACTTATAGTTCTATAGTTTCTTATGTAAAATCTGCTCTCTTGCCTAAAACCTAGTTAATTCTGCACATGATTGTTCTCTTTTTGACAATTTCACAAAGCTCACGTATATATATTATTATTGATTGTCATAGTTTCTTGTTTTGTATCATTTACACTTGCTGGATGTCTTGGCCTTCTGTAGGTTTCTGTTATGAATTATCATTTGGTTCATGTTAATTATTCTTGGCTGAAGACCTTCCTGCTTGGGACGTGCCTCAGAACATACATTAGCATCAAATCCTTCTCCATTGCTGACATCAGGTAAGACATATTGACTGATGTTTTCCTACCTTTGTCCTTTATGATCTACTGTACTACTGTTGTCCATTTTTCCTTATGTAGGTATCACTTTAAATACGAGTCCAACAGCCTACTGGAGAAGTTCATCGAATCTCTACTCTTTTCTGCTAAATTTTGGTAGGTGCAATTGAGATGAAGATGCTTCAGCTATCATTTTACTGACAAATTTCTAATCTACCTGTTGTACTGAAACATTTCAAGTGACACATCTTTTTTGTTGGCTGCCAGGGTGTTACTTTTGGTCTCTTGCTTTGAGAAAAAATTTGCTGGGATATTTTCTCACAAGGATATTTTGGGCTCAGAGAAAGTAACTTTCTTTCTTTGATAGTCTCTTTTACAATTGGTTTAAGATTGAAATTTATTATCTACAATATTGTCGTAGCTGATGGTTTATGTGTTCAAGTTGTCACCAGAAAGGAGTTGTACAAACTTATGCAGCTAGATGTTTGCCTCCAAGTGCCTTCCAAGTACAGGTAAGTTTGACTAGTTATTATCTGTTTAATGGTCTACGGAGCAGATCCAACTTATATCTATTTCAAGCTTTTTTGTGGGATGTGCTGTCTGACTGTCCTGGCTCAAATTACAGAATCTTACATGGGCTTGGCCCTTTTGCTTGAGTAAGACTTTTCTTTCCACCATTTTTCTGGGTCATGGAATCCATTAATTTCTTGGGTTGTTTCAGGCATCATAAATTGGAATTTTAACACAAGGTCTGTTCCAATCTGTGTGGAAACATGCCCATCTTCCTCACAGCAGATTAACTTGAGCTATGTTTGGCTCGGGTCTCTTACCATTGTTGGTTCCATTTAGAGCAACATACCTAATGTAACACATGCAAACAACTTCTCTGTTTTTTGGGATAAGGTTGCATATGTGGACTCTCCTTAGATCTCACATTGATGTGAGCCTCATGCACTGGTACCTAATGTATAGTGCATTTTTTTGCCATTTAGAAAATACACTATAAACCTTCTTGTTTTTCATCCTCACCTTCCTTCTCTGTGTGCCCTCATAGGTTAGGTTTCATTTAATGTTGACAACATAATCTACTTAATCAAGTCCTTGCTCATGGGTACTTGTCATGCTTTAAAGGGATGCATAGTTTGATGTTGCTTGCAGCTTGGGTTGTTTATGAATTTCTGCAAACATGGCCAATGCAATTTCAGAAGCGATTTGAACTTCTCGTTCCTTAAATTGGTATGAATTGTTACACAGAAATCAACTCTTCTAATTGTTCTGTAACTCAGTCATTATTTGCTGTTTGAATTTTTTTTTCTCAGGTAATACCAATATCTAATCTTACAAGGTGGTGCGAAGAAATGTGGGTTTCAATGCCATCAGAGAGACATGATGATGATGAAATAGTTGAGATGAACCAATATTTAGACCATTTCCTTCCCAGAGGAACTTTATATGAACACATGATTAGAAGAATTATTTCAAGTGATGATTTAGGCTTTGTTTTAATGGGAGTATTCAAGGTTAGTGATATTAATCACGTATTTGCACTAAATCTCTGTTTTTATTATATTGGCTTGTGTGGTTTTGGATTGGCAGCTATAAGAAATTTGTTTGTTGAGATTGATTCTGTGATAGTTGTTAAAAGATACTAAGTCTGCAATCAATCTATTGATTAGGTAATGAGAGATTCTAAATTGACTTTAGTTGCAAATGACAAAAAATCAGTAACAAAGTCTAGCAATGTTCACCAAAAACATTTAGGGGTCTCCAATCTGGAAAATTTTTGTTAATTATAAAAATGCCACTCACATATAATTTGTTAGAGTAATCATTAGTGGCTAGACCATCTGGAAAACATATTTGAACTGCTTAATTTTAAAACTGATCACTGCTTAAGATGGTGTTATTGGATTTATTCTATCCATGATTATGTCCTATTATCCTTTCATATGTGTTCCTTTTATTTGCTTTCTTTTGTTTTGGGCAAAGGTTAAGTGAAATAAAATTTCTTTTTAATTTTATGCTGATATCCTTCTGATGCCTTTCTTATTCAAGTTGCCTAGCATGTCATCCAATTGATCATGATATAGACTTTTGCAGGATTTAAGTTTACACAGATCATACCAGGATCTTATGATCGTTAACACCTCAATGAAAGATTTTGTGGTTTGTGATGGAGCGCTAGTCACTTGCATATCATCAAAATTGCAAATGTACTTGTACCTGTTTTACATTTTCTCTAAAGTGGTCGTCTCTTCTTTTCATTGGATTGGGGTTCTAGTTTTTACTGGTACCGCATATTTATAGTTCTAATATGTGGAAATTGGTTTAATTATTTTTTTGTTTATGTTGTTCTTTGTTATCGGGGCATGTACTCCGTTAATGACATTGTTCAATGAGATCTGAATTTTCTGCGACAATAAGTCTGATATATTGTTTTTGATAATATGTTCTTTTTGTTAGTCAAATACCAATATCTTGTTACCTTATTTTGTCATATTGTTAATACGCAAGTAGTGCAATCTGAGTGCTTATATAATGATCATTTTCCATTTTCAGATTTCTCAATGTTCTGGGAGGTTGCAATTGACTGATGCAACGGGAAGCATTGATGTTGTCGTGCCAGATTTACCAGTAGATGTTGATTTTCAGACCATCTATGAGGTGAAAGATTGCAGTTCTTTCTTAATATATTTCTAGATCTTTGTTAACTTGTACTATAATTGCGTTTGATAAATTAATGCAATCTAGTTCCCTGTTTCCTGTTTCACTTGGATATTTCTAATTTGTGTAGTGTGTAGACCATCTTAAACAAGAATTCGTTAATTTATTGATTATAAAAAAAGAATCAACATTTGCTGGATTGAGATTTTATGGGAGAGGAACAGAAGGTGCTTTTGCTGGATGATCTACCATTCACTTGAATTAGGTAATTATCAACAATAGAGAGGAGGTATTCAGAAAGCTCTACAGTGATTGATAATTGAAATGTTCAATTTCTGAGATAGGATATCAATAAAAATAGATTTAATAAGGAAAACAAATCAAGAGGGAGCCCTTTTAGTGCAATAGACTGACCACGAGGATGGGCAAAGTAACTCACAACTACATTTTCCCTTTTTTATTTCATACTTGTAAATCCAAACAGTATTTAATTCTTTCTTTTGGCAGCATATTATGTTCTCATGATTTTGGTGATACTATTGTTTCTAATGAGCTGTGAGATGTTTATCGGCATGCCTGTCTACTTATGTTATCATAATGTTTCTTGTTATCTAGGTCAAAGATTATAAACTTGTTATGGAAGGTTCACCACACCAAGTAGATCATCTGCAGTGTCATTTTGATGGATCACTCTCATGCAGGGCTATATTTCAGCATTTCTCTCATAAGGAAAAATCTCAACTTGCAGTTTATGTTCACTTCTATGTCAGGGACATAACCTGGACTAGTTTTCCTCATCAAATTCCTTCTTACATGGACAAGAATCACGTCAATTGCAGTAATGATGACATGTTTCATCTGTTTCTTGTTACTCACAAATTTCCTGTCCATCAGAGTGTATGTCTCATGATCATCGGAACACCGAAAATTATTCTCTTATTACCATGTTTCATGTAATTAGTTTATTTCATTAATTGCCTAGTTTATTTGCTGTTGCAGCTTCAAGATGATCTCAGTTTTTCAAACAGCTCTGGTTTGTTTGCTGAGGCTTTGATATTGCCTTATAATTTGATACCTATTGAGACATATGAACATGGTGAACTTACAGAAGTTTTCCTCAACAATCAAAATAAACTATCTGATTGTACTGGTCAGCTGAAAGACTCAATTGAAGGATGGTCTAAACAGTCTAAACTTATTCAAGCATCAAATATTGTCCAACATTCTGATTCAGTGAATGTTTCAAGAGAGTTCGAGAGGTCTTGCCACCTTTGTTGTTCACTCACATTTAGAAGTAACAACTGTAAATGGTCTCAGTTACCAGTCTATCTATATAATGCTAATGGGATTATAATGAAGGACATATTTCATAATCAGAGTGATTCGAGGGTATTGCTAGAATTTGGATCTAACAACTTTAGCAAGTATCAGGTATCGTTTTCTATGATTCTTTTTTCCTCGACAAAAAGAGTAGGGGATATTTTTTGCTTTTTAGTTTCTTTAAGTGGTGACCTGATTTTTCAATCTTCATGCTAGATGATTCGTGTAGGTTCATATTATCTTCTGAAGTGCTCCAAGAAAAATTTGCACTGCAAATCAAAAGGCTGTGAACATATGATACGTGGAAAAGCTATTGTGATCTCTGAGACAAGCCTCTGGAGTCTTTCATTTTTGTTTGGTGAGGATAAACATCAGAGGAAATCATCTGGAGATGACTGTTCTCGTGCTTCTTCAGTAAAAAATATTGAAGATGGTCCAAACAAATTTTGTCAGCATGAGCAAATGTTCCTGCAGTTCATTGATCAAACACGTCAACTTTCAGATGTTTATTTGCATATATCTACTGAAGCAATGACGCACTTGGAAGAATTAGAGCCATCACAACAGGGTTTAAATAATCTCCTTCGTTCTCTAGATGAAATTAAAAGTGTGTCATCATGCATCCAAAACATGATGTCTGAGGTTGCTATGCCTGCTGGAATTATTAATCAACTGAACAACGAGTTGCCACAAGGAACTCAAATATCATTAAATGGAAATGTTGAGAACTTTTTTATTTATGACTGCAGACCTAGATCTTGTGTGAGCTCTAGTTGTGTGGCAAATTGTAACCAGTGGAGTACATGCAAAGTTTGTATTTATGTAACTGATGATTACAATATGGTAATTCCCCTTTGCATGTTCTTATCCTTGTTGTGTCTACTATTTATTTGTTTTCTTTTAAACCTTTGCCTATAGGTGCGAGTTCGTGGTAGCTTAAGCAGATATGCTTATCCTATTGGATTGGGACCCGGAGCAAATGTGACCTTTCACAGAGTCCTTTTGATGCAGTATGCCTCATCATGATTTATGGTGTTTATTAGTCATTATAAATTATTGTTTCACATGGTGTTTATCTTGGTAGATTCCTTAATGTTCTTCATGCTAATATAGAGAAAGTTTTGAATGTTTAATACTGCTGCTTTATCAACATCTTGCTAAGTTGGAATTTTCCTGTTGCTTTTAGTTTCTTAAATCATCTGATATCATGTTACATAGTAAAGGTCTTGCTAATTTGTCTGTGATATGTGACCGATGCATGAAATTGTAGGACTATAATATACCCTAATTAGCTGTAGATCTGCATTTCTATGTTGTGGCTTTCAATTATGCTCATAATATTGGGTTCTTGTTGTGAATTTACTGGGTTGGGATACTATGAAGTAATCTTAACTCTTAAGTCGTTACTCAGAAGGCACAATGCCATGTTGGAAGGGAACACATTGTCTTAATATGAGAGAAGCATATTCCTTTTTAATCATTGTTTTTTTGTAGGTTTTGCTTGTTTCCAATTGCTGATCATCAACTTATTAAAATTAAGTGTTCCAATCTATATCTCATCACTATTATATCATATAATTAAAACTTCTTTCTGCAGTATAATAAAAACATGATTATCTACTGTTGTCTGGAAAATTATAATTATTCTGTGCATGAAGAGCCTTGTCAGGAGATTACTGTTGGAAAAGCTAAATGATGGAAAAGTGAATCCATTCACAAATAGTTGGGGATAGGGAACTCTTGCTGTCATTTTATTTTCCTCTCTTCTCAATTTATTTTTATTCATGTTTTTTGGATTTTACATTTAGATGCTATGAACACAAGGAAAATAGATAAGTTTTTGGGACAAGTAGAGAGTTCTTTTATAATGTTTTTGTACATTCATTGTTCTCTATGGATGAAGAAGTTTATAAAGTCAAACATAGTACAATAAAAGAATGAAATGTATTGGTGATGTATTTTGGAATCCAAGGTAGCATCTACTGTGTAGTTTTTTCAAGACCTAGATGGTGAGGGAGTTAAAATAGAGCAAAGAGCACAAATTTTTCTTTGGGTTTAGGACTAGTCTGCCCATTGAATAACAGCGAGAAAAGTTTTTATTGATGAAGTATAAAAAGTATAAAAGTATAGAAAGATCTATTGATAACTTACAATTTAAAGATTCAGGGCTTTTTTATTCTTCTATTGGTGAGACTTCATTTGGTGCATTAAGTAAAATTTGTGATACTGATATAGATTACCATCATTTCTGTTTTAGCTTAGGATTCAACCTTGCTGAATTAGCAGTGATATGTTTTCTCCAGATCATATATTGACTTAAATTTCTGATCCTTTTCATATTTTGTATGAAGAATGCAATTAACTCTTGCTCTATATAACTCCAGCACTTCCAGCAGATGGCATGAGTTGATGTTAACCCCAGTGTCTTTTATTGTGGTTAACTCGGTAAAGGAACTTGATAATCAACAAACTGATAGAAGTCCAATACAAGAATCCAGATGGAATATTCAGTGTGAGGAAATATTAGATACGATTTCATTAGTTTCAATCTCACAGATGCTGAAGTGTATGAACAGTAAGCCAATCCGGCTACGTTGCAGGGTAAGAAAATCTTAGTTTTACTTCGTTACAATTTGGTTTTATATATATATATATATATATATATATATATATATCTAGGATTCATGCATATTTTGTTTGAATTTATTCACACATTTGGTTCTATTTTTTTTGTTCATTCTCCACACTATTAACTTTTCTTTTCTCCCCTTGTCTTTTCCTGGTTGGTTGTTGATTTTTTCTATGTTTCGTTATTCTTTCCCCTGCTTGGAGGGAGGGCAGGTCGTGACTATCGTTATCTTAGTGCTGGAGAATCAAACACATGAATCTGTTGAGCTGCGATGTGGAAGATTTTTCAAGATGCGAGCAGCAAGTATCCCACTAGCTGGATTTTTATTAGGTGAGCCATTTATCCAGTTATTTTCTTATGACTTATTTTTGGTTATCATGCATGTCTAACTACATATTGGAATGGTTATGCATTATCATTCACATAGATAGGTTTCTGTATTTGTTGTTCACTGAAGACAATCTTTATAATGATTTATGGGGATTGACAAATTCAATGCCAAGATTAATGTTCTGATGTCCACTTTCCTAATTGCTTCTGATAGAAATTGGACTAATAGATTTTGCTTGCAAATTAGGATGGATTTAAATGTATAAGTCAATGGGGCTTTTTGTAAACTATGCCATTGACTTAGTAAAGATGTAGGCTTTATAATTCTTAGGCTATTACATGTACAAACTTCACAGGGATCAAGTTAGAAGCACTAAATAATAACTGAGAAGATGAGCTACTAGTGACATACTCTTGACTCTGGATGTGGTATGAAGTAGCTTATATTATTGTACTGAGTATATTTTTATTTATGTAGATGATGGTTCGTCTTTGTGTTGTTGCTGGGCTGACAATGGTCGAGCTGAGGCACTGCTTAGGCTACATGAAACAACTCGAAAGTCTTTCTTGACTAGCAGCAAGATATTGAAAACGTCTGGAAATCAGGACTTTCAACATGCTATTGGTTACCATCTTCATAAGATGCTAAAAAAGCATCATAGAATTGTCATTAGGAACCATGGAGCAACATCTGACTTGTCCTGTGAAGATTTAACATTTTCTGTTGACTCGCATAAAGTTTTCAGTAATGCAGACGAGAGACTTCTGAGGTCCATCGTCCTCAACGCATGTCATGCATCAACTCTTGTAGGTTCTTTCCTCTTCCCTCTTAATCTTGTCAGCAAGTATGGAATGTTCTAATTATATTTTAGCCAAATGATGTATTTTCTGTTAGTAACTTTCTATTGTTATGCTATGCTGTCAGGCAAGATCCCAGAACTACACATTCTTGCTGATAGATTGCACTTTTTATATGTTTTCTATGTTATAGCCTGTCAGCTATTATTCTTCGTTCTATGCTGATAGATTGCACTTTTATCAGGAAGTACTGAACACATCAAGGAGTGCTTAGTTCTATTATTCTTCCATAGTATAATTGTGATTGGCATTCTTGTCTCTGTTGATGAACATGATATTTATTATTTAACAGTACATCTTTCTATAATCTATCTTCATCACAAACTAATGATTGTTCAGCTGCTGTGGGTGTTTTTCCAGCTCACTTTAACATCCTTTCCACATTCTCTGTTTTCTTTTCTCAACTTGGCTGCCTGAGATTGTAAATCTGTGTTTTTTACCTTTAATCAGAGGATTTAAATGAATGTGGAATTTTAATTATCTGTTTCTTTTATGTTACAGTCTTTTTAGAACTTGGTTTAATTGAAATGTGTAACTAGTTTGTTGTAGCACTGAGTGCAAATTGCAAAAATGACCTTTACACTAATTTTCTATTTTGGCAGAATGTTGCTGCCAATTCAGTGGACTCAACTGCTTTATTCTGTGGCAATTTATTCTGCGGTAACAAAGAGTTTCTCGAATATCATCAAAAACTTCAGTCAATGCCACATTTGTGGGTTGGAGAAGTTGGCCATGTAGATTCAGTGAAAGAGGTTAGAAGCATATCCAATATTCTATGCACTGGCTAGCATCAATTTCACTATATCTGGAGTTGTTGGTGGTCCATGGTAAAGTGGATTTGATAGCTGATTGAAGGATACAGAAACATCCAGAAAGTTGGCCTTCTGGTTCTTGGAGAGGCAGCTCACATATGGGATTTTTCTTGCTTCGAAACCACCATCCACAAACATTGAGGTGTGCCAAACCCAAAGATCAGTAGGTTTGGAGATTTGTTGCAAGGTTGTAGATCACCTCCATCATGCTGCTACAGAGTTAGCAAGACAATCTTGGACAAGCTTTTGACCATATTCCTCGCCTTCTATCTCTAGCCATTTCTCAACTTCTAGGAATACTGGGCACAAATCCGGTAATAAATTTGGTTTTCATGTTCAGAATATGTCAGTAGGTTAAGAAAAGGCAGTTGAAAATGAATTGGGGATACTATGGATGAGGTTTAGTTGACATTCTTCTACTTTTTTGCAATGCTAGCTATATATTTGTCTAGATAGCTTCTTATATTATCAATCAGTTTTTCATTTTGTTGTAGCAAAATTATAATGCCACCTGGAAATTCTTTTGTATTGTCTTCTAAATGATGTTTATTCTAAGCAAGTATCAAATCGTTTACCACAGTGGTTTAAATAGGTGTCCGGGTGCTCGCCTAGGCACTTGGGTGAGGCGAGGTGAGGCTTGAGTGCCTCAAAGCTTGACTAAGTGGTGCCCTTTAGTGAAGCGTCGCCTGGGCACTTGCCTACTGAGCGTCTTGGGCAAGCGTCCAATTGAAACAAAGCAACTGAACCAAACAATCAAGTTTGGTTCGGTTGAACAATAGCTTAGTTGGTTCGATTAACCCATGGGGCGCCTTGGGCAAGCGCCCGATGGAAACAAAACAATCGAACCAGACAATCAAGTCTGGTTCGGTTGAACAATAGCTTAGTTGGTTCAATTGAACCAACTAAGCTAAATAGTGTTGTTAAACTTGCACACTCAAGCCCCTCGCGACCTCCTCCTCCCCCTCGACCCCGAGCTATAAACCCTACTTCATGCGCAGTCGCTGACTTCGTCGTCAACGGACAGGTTTGAAGGTCTACCTTTCGTGCATAGTTCCCTTCACCATCGTTGCTTCCGTGTGCAACTCCTTCCACTATTGAGGGAGAGGACCAAAGCTTCCTCCACCATCGACAGATACATCCGAAGCTTCTTCCACCCACAACATCGTCGTCCACAGCTTTCGTCGTCCGCTGCCACCATCCGAAGCTTTCTCCGTTGTTGCTGCTGTTGTCCATAGCTTCCTCCGTCGTCGCTACTGTCGTCTATAGCTTCCTCTGTCGTCGTTGTTGTTGTCAAAAACTTCCTCCGTCGCTATTGCTACCATACGTAGTTTCTTCCATCGTCATTGTTGTTGTCCCAATTGTTACCCTCTCTTTCCCCACTTTCCATCGTCGGTAACTCTTTTCTCTCTTTTAATTATTATTAACAGTATATTAAATACTATTAATAGTAGATCAGTAGTATTATATACTTTTTATATTTTTTATATTTCAGGGCGTCTCGCTTCGCTCGAGTGTTTTGGTGCATAACGCTTTTTAAATCACTAGTTTATCATCTTCAATATATTTGCATTCGGGGAACTTTTCAACTAACATATTAGTTTTCCTTGTGCTTTTTACTTCATGTTTAGCTTTTTGTCTGCAGGTTTGTAATCTGTTGTAAATTTGTATCTCAAAAAGACATCATTTTAAATGATATTGTGAAGTCATGGTTTAGTGCATGCAACAGGTATGTCACGACGCACTCTTTGATGTTGAGGTTTGAGTGAGTGACGGACACTAAATTTAGCTACTTACCTGTGTATAAGAACAGAAAAGCCAGTGAATGATATGGAAGAAACTGTGTTAAGGCTGTAAACAAAAGGCGCATTGGATGTTTGTATTTTATTTTTGCTGCCAATAAAGTGTTTAAATTTCAGATTTGGAATAAAATATGCTGAATCCGTCCAAGAAGTGGAAGCAGAAAAGAGCTGCACCATAATAGGTGCCACCTTATTAGAAAATAATAGTCTGAATGTAGTATTATGATGTCTGAGAAAGCTCTACATTTTCTCTCAGTTTATATTGAATATACAAGAGTCAGGAACAGACATTTATTTCTGTTTCATTTACATTTTTGTGCTTAAAGTGCACTTGTTGTCATTAAATGTGCCCTTAAAGCATGCAATACAAAATTGCTACATGTTACAAAATAACTTATTGAACTGATACAGTACCGATTTGTATTCCATATTGAATAAAATATAAAGAATAGAAAAACTTGTATTTGATTTGTTATTTGGTAGCTTTGTTGGTAACATTGTGACATGGACATGAGAGACTGTGTAGTCTGCTTTCCAATTGATTCTTGGGTTCCGGAGGATACTTCTTAGCAGAGATATCAACTTGTCCAAACCTGTGGACATGGCTATATGGTTCCAAAGATTGCATCAAGAACAGGTATACTGAGTGATGCTGATGTTACTGTTCGACATTGATATGTGGCTTTCGTTCTCTATCCTCTCCATTAAAGAACAAACAGGATGAATAATTCTCACTATTTTCCCTGTCATTCTACAGGATTCATAAGGATGCTGAGATCATTTGAGTTTGTTTCTTCTTGCATATCACAAAGCTTTACTGTAGCCAGTGGAGGAAGAAGTGATGGATCACAATCAACAGTGAGGGATGACAAAAGAGGAACAAGTTTGTTGCAGATGGCCTCTTGTTCTTGGGGTGTTGGATTCCATCTCTCACTGTAGATGGTTCCTCCATTTCCCTTTTGTACTCGGTACTGTCTTGGACTTCTCTCTAATTCTTGCAGATGAATGTTTTCGATCAGTTTCAAAGCCGAAAACTTATGGTGGTGCCAAAGAATTCAAACACTAGTACAGATTCAGACCTGAATGTTTCCAGGTTTCCGAGTGATATGCCATTAGAACACTCGGATCTCATCTCCGATTGTATTCCTTGTCCCAGTGTCTACTGACACCTAATTCAATTCCCAGCTTATTAACTATGTGATGCAGGAAGCAGTTGGCACGTCCTGACTTCTGAAACAAAGGAAGCAATCTTGATCTGGTGTTGCTTCATTACTTCCCTTTGTGTCCAGTCCATTTGAGACTGATGTTTTATCTTCATTTTGGAACATCTTAAATGTTATCTGAACCTGTTCTTCTGTTGCTAATACTGCCACTCCTATTGATTTCTAACATGTAAAAGCTCAAACCCATAGTTGAGCACAACTCTTAATATACAAGTGATCTGCAGACCTTGATGCTTAATATACAAGTGTTTTGACTTCTGATGCATGAATTTTGAGCCAAAAACTGAGAAGTGAAACAATATTCTGTATTTACCTGTTTGAACCATTGGTGATGAACAGTTGAGCTCTTTGTACATTCTGTCATCACCTGAAGAGGAAATAATTCAGCAATGTCCATTTTGATACTGTCTTTTCTGAGGTAATGAACAATAAAATGAATAATTAAGCATCAATAACATTTTCCATAAAGGCTACTTAAAAGAATATTTTACTAGAAATTATAAATAAAACCATTAAAAAAAATTTTAATAGAAACTATAAATAAAATCAATGATGATAAAAGATTCACATAATCAACCCAATTAGGATACTATTTATTTCTCATGTCTATGTTACTTGCTAACCTTTAATGCCTTCTCCCAATAATGTTAGAATTTGACCATAATGCCATCCTATTTAATAGCACAGGTTACAGATTGTAATCACATACAGTAGCAAAGCTCTTAATGGGGACACTGCTCATTTAGATTCCATAGATCAAAACCCTTCATCTGCTTTGGCAACATTGACATAGTAAGACATGGAGCTGCTGCACTCACCACCCATCTCCAGCACGCCACTCTCTTGCCCATACTCCTCTTCCATCTCCTCCTTCGCCACCCTCTCCATCTCCATCACTCCCGAGGAGGGCTTCTGAGGCTGCACGAGCACCGGCATCTCGAAGTAGCCTGGTGAGGACACCGCTGGCGTCGGCGGCGGCAGGCCGACCGGGGGCAGCTTCGAGAGGAGGGCGTCGAGGCTGCTCATCGACGGCGTGACGACCCTCATCTGCGGGCTGAAATGGTCGTAGAACTCCACCGGCGGGAAGGCGGACCAGTTCTGAGGGAGTGTGCAGGCTTCGATCCTCATCGGGCACGCCGACGACGACGGGTGCGGTAGGAGGACGCCGGGTATACTTTCTAGGTAGTCGAACTTCTTGCGGAGTAGAATGACCAAGCTCAAGTCCTCCATCACCTTCATCCAATTGCCATGGGAAGGTAAGCAACAGACGCCAAGTCAATGTGACCATGTGATAATTGGCATGCACTATCTATGGGTATGTTCTATTTGTGTTGTTGAATCAGATGAGGGCAGCATCATCATCAGACAAGAAATCTTAATCATCTTTGTAGAGAGAGAGAGAGAGAGAGAGACCTTGTTGACGGAACCCAACTGTACAACGCCTTCCCTGACAGCAACCAGAGCAATGGTCTGCATTAATGGTGGGAGGCAACTCAAGTCAGTCTGCAGCTTGGATGAAAGGAAGATGGAACTTGCAGTAACGACAGCAGTAAAGGGTATTTATGCTACCTCGATGCCAGATTGAAACTGAGCCTCCCAAGTCCTCGGTTGCTGGTGCAACAAAGCATTCCCTCATTTCCACAAACACATCAACGAGTATAGTAATACAAGAGATAGCCTCACAGAACTAAGCTGGTGCAAAAGAGCTCGCAAGCAAAGAAAGACGCACTTACGGAATCAGCAGGGTTGTTCCATGTCGACAGCAAAGCCATCTTATGATCTTGGGGTTCCTTAAACACCCATTTATGGCTGTGATCTGCTGCAACTTTTCCGATCAAGCTGCCAAAAGTATTCTCAGCATCAAACAGAGGGAAAAAAGAGAGGAGTCATCAGAGTCATCTTCTTCCTGCTCACCCTTCCCCGTAGTTGTAGATCTCATGGGACATCTTGAAGAAGAGCTCAGGTTGGAGACCTTTCATCTGGCACTCTTCTTCCGTCATGGCTTGCTCACAGCTGGAGGCAGCAAAGTTGCAGAACCCATCCTCCCATGCAAGTATCCTAGAGAGAGAGAGAGAGAGAGAGAGAGAGAGAGGATTCAAGAGCGTGTTCAGGTGTGTGGAGAAATCCAAACAAAGTACATGTACCAGTTCCTCCTGTTTCCTCTACTTCTGTCATAGACCCCTCCATGAAGATCCCACCTGCCACAACAAAGATCAAGAACGAAGTTAGAAACTTACTGCAAAAGATGGAATTTATCGGTGATGCATGTGTTGCTCCTTTTTGATTACTTGGGTGGTGGGTAGTTCCTTGGCAAGATCCTCCAGAACACAGCATAGATCCACTGGGAGCTCTTGTGGTTGCACAAGCTTCTCAGGGTGTGTTGCAGGAGGTGGGTGACTGCTAAAGGATTGAGTTGTTCCTCCATTAAAAGGCCTATGATCACTAACCAGATCTCCACACCATCCTCTCTATCTTGCTATCTATAATCTACCTACCAGTGCTAGCTATAGCCAAATATATACCTCTCTCTCTCTCTCTCTTTCTCTCTCTCACATTCATGAGCTAGATTTCACCAGTATCATCTCTACAGCTCCACATCCCTGCTTGCTATGGTCTCCTCGCCTATCCCCACCCAACCACAACTTTCAAAGCTGTTCATCATTAGACTTTCTTCCTGGCCACATCATATATAATTGAGTCTGAGCAAAAACCAGACCTACTTTTCCGAACCAGAAATGAGGTCATTCTACACCACAACTTGAGGAACTTTTGCATCTCACTTGAATCCTCTCTCTCTCTCTCTCTCTCTCTCACACACACACACACACACACATCAGGGAACTCTCACTTTTCAGAAAAGGACTTGTGAGAAGTCATATTATTCCATACGCAATGAACATCCAAGAATGACAAGTACTCATCGATCAACAGTCTAGCTTTGCAGATATGTATGTGATTCCGGTGGTACATGTGATTACGTACATATGCGAGGAGTTTTGTTTAAGTAGGACAGATTACTGGCCAATTAATGCATGTGTTGCACTGATGGCGGACATATCTAATCCTATCCGTTTCCTACGCCACTGGTAGATAGCACCGCAAGTTTAGAAGGAAGCCATCACATGGGCTGCACTCCTTTCCGACTTGGGCCATTGCCGATGAGATAAGGAGGTGAATGAGTTCTTTCTCCAGTGAATGCCACCATTTGCTCATCTGAGACTTCACCGACTTCTTCCTGTAGAAATTGTTACAAGGATCTGCGCATGCAATTGCTTCGTCCAGTGGCTACGTACTCAGAGAACTTTCAGCAAGCATTAGGTCTGGCTGAGAGTTCAGTCTCTCATGTCCATGACGATACATGTGTATGCAGTACATCTCCTTGGCATGGATGACATGTCAAAGCAGAAAGCAAGCATCAAAGCTAGTTTTCTGCCCTGTACTTTTTGGCCTACCTGGGAAAGCTCAGTGTGGGTGAGTAAAGGAGGAGAGAAGAAAGATACCTGTGAGCCATTGGAAATGGAGCAGTGTCCCTTGTCCCCTGGGATTGCATGATGACCAAAGAGTGATTTCAGAGACATCATCTCTGCAGCTTTCGTATCTCCTTTTCCCTCTCCTCTGACAGGGAAAGCAAAGCCAGCAAGTCCCGGGCCTCTTTGACCCGCACCATCATCACACGTAACCTAAAGTCTAATCCCCATCATGCCATCGCCTCGATACTTACATGGAACTCAATAAAGGGTGCCATGGTACAAATCCCCAAGAGCTAGTCAATGAGTGCCCTCCAAAGCACAGCCAGCTTTGCCCATGACAAGGACTGCTGTGCACTGCCTTTCTTTCTTAATAATTTTCTTCTGTCCTCTTTCTTTGATGGAGAGAGAAAAAACATATGGATTTGTTGATTATGGTACAAAGAGTGGTAAAAGTTTCCAGTATGGATCTAATGTTAAGATCAGATGGACCATCTTCTTTATACTCTGCAAGAAATGGAGAGGTTGGTAGAGATGTGGGAGGTAGGAATGGCAGAGGAGTCTGGCCAATATATCACCGGTGGTCTCTCTCTCTCTCTCTCTCTCTCTCTCTCTCTCTCT